ATTGTTTCTAATTAGCTGATGACATAACCTTCTTTACTGTGAAAGATGATAGAAAATGAATAGCAGAAATGAAATTTACATCAGGCAAGTTGCTACACCCATTTATCTGATCATCTGGGCTGTGCCTTTTCTTAACTGTATGTTTGCTCAGTTTGTTATTTTCCTAGCCTCTAAAGATCCTTTTGATAACACTTTTAGCTTTCACTCAACCATCTTCAACACACTAGAGCCTACATTTGGTCACTTGTAACAAATGAAATTTGACAAGAATGTTGCTAATTTCAACTCATGCTTGTTACATGTATGTTAGTTTTGCCTCACAAGTAATTAGAACTTTAACATCAAGAAGTTCATGATTTCCAATTATTTATTATCTAAGGCCTGGTGTTTTGACACACCAATGAAAGTGAGAGCCAAGAGAGCAAAAAAAAAATAGCTTAGAATTTCCAACTATGGGTTGGGCTTTTGAATTAAGGTTTGTTTTAGTGATTTAAATGGGATAACCTCATGGTTTTTGCCAGTGCTGTTTCTTGTTTGGTGAAGTTGACCTCATTATATAGACTCATTTGAACAAGAAGCCATTCTGTTACAATATAATTTGATTTAAAGAACCGAGTTGTTAATGTAATTCAGGCACTCTAGAGAGTTTCTAAGCTTGCGTTTTGAATGTTGGCCCTTTTTCAGAGAGAACATCAATCTGTAACAAACTATGACAGGTTGATGCTTGAATCCATGTGACAAGTTTGTGGGAACCATATTTTGATAATGTATGTAATGAGAGTTCAAAAACATGAGACAGATTGTTGCCATGTGATTCCTCTCCAAAGTCTTATTGTGACACTGTTTTTGTTGTTTTTTTATTAACAGCCAGAAATGGTTGGCCATTATCTTGGGGAGTTCTCAATCACATACAAGCCTGTGAAGCATGGCCGACCTGGTATTGGTGCCACTCACTCATCTCGTTTTATTCCTCTGAAGTAGTTAACCCACTTCAATAAAATGTCAAGCTGTTAATTTGATTGTAGTCTTTGTTTATTTTAGACTCATCATTATGCATAATGTTTTGTTTCCTTATAAATCCTTTTTAAAGTCGGCAATTACTTGATCAAGTAACCATTATTGGTAATGTGTTTATTAATTATTGACAAACCAGTGTTTTTAAAGGGGAAGTGATACAAATTTTTTGTTTTGAATTCCATTGCAAAACTTTTTTTGTTGCATTTTTCTGCAGGTAATTTTGTTTTTAGTTTTGGAAGGTTTTGGTTAATTTTTCCAAAAACCAGACAATATTCAACCCAAATTTCAGAGAGTATGTTTGAAGTTAGTACTCTGATACGGTTTGAGATGTCAAAGAGTGAGTTAAACTTTCAAGAATTCACTTAAAATTAGAGCATTACCAGCACCTCTTTCTCACAAAAATTAATCACACAAGTAACCACAAATCTATGGAAAATTTGTCTTAGGGCTGCCCGTTTTCTGAGACGGACTCTAGTGCTAGAGTGCTAGCTCTCTCTTTGTTTACCTTGGGACTGGTCATAGTTTACCTCTAAATGTAGGGAAAATTTGACTGAGTGCTGTCATTTTGAAAATTCCTAGCAACTTGGCAACTTGACTCCGCCCCCGGACTGTACCAATTCCAAAAATAAAGTTTGATAGGGTCAACACAAGTTTACAAGGGATTGCTGCCTGTCTCGCTGCCCTTGTGAGGTGATGGTTTCGCACGTTTGGTAAAAATATAGAGTGACCGAAATTTCCGTTTGGGTTTACGTGTTCGACATAACATTCGAATCGAAAGTAGAACTTCACCCCAGGAAGGATGAAGAACTTATGTGAAATTGTCCGTTGCGTGGCGACCGCATAACGTGACAACTAAATATTTGTGAGAGCCAGTAGGAACTTCAGTTCTGCTCCCTGAGAACTGTCAATCTTTAAACTCGGGTGTAGTCAGTATCGTTCGTTTGGCTGAACCATCAAAAGAAGGCGTTTAATGATATGATGACTGTATTATCAGAACACGAGCCGTGTGCTCGCCATTTTGAATGTCAATTGCATGTACTTACACTCCATAAATGCAAGGGGTCTGAATCCTAATATACAATGGTCAGTGAACTTTTCAGTTGTTGTTAATGGAAACTAATCTATCCACTTCCAGCAGATAGGACTTATCTTGCCTCTATCACCCCATCTTTTACCTCTTGCTACTCGGACATAGTTTAGGTTGATAAAAAGGACAAAGGCAGACTGGTGTTCAGAGCTTTCTAAGATTAACATGTTGGGAATATAACAGGGTAATGTAGTGTTACTAACTGACTTGAAAACGTAAATTGGCCACCGTAAGGAGTTTAAAGGCTTTGGCCGCCGTAAAGACCTAAAGGCTATGTTAGGAATATAGCTGATTTTGAACTGAATGAATGTTGTGCCGCGTAGCACTGGGAACACAAATGGTGAAACAGAGAATTAACTCTGAAGTGTAAATTAAAGTGCTACTTAAACCCATGAATAACCCACAGGGCGTTAAATGGTGAAATCGTGAATCGCGGTGAAGAGAAAGTAAGGGTACATATGAATGTGTAAGGGTACATATGTACCCTTACTTTCTCTTCGCCGCGATTCACCATCCTAAATCGTCCCCGACCTCGTAGCACAGTCGGCAGAGTAACGGTAGATCTAATCCGGAGGTCGTGGGTTCGATTCCCACCGAGATCAAAAGATTTTTTCTTTGCCTCGTGTGGTTCCCTGTTTCCCTTTATTAAGGCTAACGCCCTGTGGGTTATTCATGGGTTTAAGTAGCACTTTAATTTACACTTCAGAGTTAATTCTCTGTTTCACCATTTGATTTTGAACTGGTTGGCTGAATAGACAGTTAATTATTGAATTATTGCTAATAAAGTAATTTAGGGAAAGATAGATGTTATATGGGCATGTGTTAACTAGGCTCTAAATAGAGAGTCGTTCCTCGCTATTGCACATCGATTACAACAACGAAAATGTAACTTTCGTTTATGGACTAACATTTTATTGATTAACTAAAGAACGAGGGAACTTGTACAAATTGCAAAAGAAAAAGTGTTCGGCCTCAAATAACTGCAACTGCGCTCCCTTTGTCAGGTCAATTTAAATTGTAGCCTGTGCCTTAAGCGCGTTCAATCAAAATGTAGCTCTCGTCTCTTGAGCAAAAATCCATTTTCAAAAGTGCTTCGTACAACTTTGCTTCTTTATCTCTATAATCGGGGATTACGTTACCACAATAATCCTCTGCAAGCCACTCATCTGCTGTGTGGTAGGATTCAGAACCAGGTCCCGAGGTAAATTTTATGGCGTCTTCCTCAGACGATGAATTGCTTGCTGACCACAGCCCAGAGCAAAACTCACGTCCTATTCGATTCTTTTGTCCCGAAGCTGAAAAATCAAAATCACGTGTGCAAGTGTTGGATGACTTGTTACAGCTAGTTTCCTCTTCGTTCAGACAAGTTATCCTTCCCTTGTATGTCTCAGAGACATGAGTGGTAATGCAGGGGGACGCGTGTGACTGAGTTCGTCGTCGCGTTTCAGAATCTGAGTATTGAGGAGAAGATCGCTCTCTTATTCTCTGGGTTGTCCTTAACTTGATCTCATGGATTATTCCACTTTGCTCCAATCTGGTTAACAGTCCACAATTTTCATTTACCTTTGTCAAATATTGTTTGACTCGCTGAAGTTGTAGCTTTGGTGAGATCAGCAGCCAGTGCACTATACACATGGAGACTGTTACTGCTTTGCACATCACAAAGATTAAAAATGCAATTGTAATTGCCAGAGGAGCAAGCACTGCGATTGTCGAAAGAAACGACGCAATAGCGAGTGTTAATAATCCACACTGAATTACGAGGAGGACGGTGAAACTGGACAACATTGATCCTACTATAAAAGCTATTAACACGGTAATCGGAATAAAACTCGACAACACCAACGAACTGTATAAACTCCACTGCCAAGGTTTCTGGGTAACCACCTCTAAAGCAAACCAAACGGGTGAGGATAACACAATTTTATGCCAAAGCACATCTAAGCGAGACGCAACCATTTTCAATTTTCTCTACGAGAATGAATTATTTTCTAACAATTTAATGTGACGTCATAAAATTTATCCATCTGACGCCCACGCGCAAGTCGTGCCGGAATTTAATATTCAGTTTCTTGTGAGCAGAGAGTGCCATAAAATTTAAAATTTCCATGTCTTTTGGTCCTAAATTGGTTTGCGTAAGAGATTGTAAACAGTTTGTAATCTCTTGGTTTGCACTAGAATCACGAATGAAAAAAAATCGTGTAACAAAAACAAAAAGAAGGTTGCGCGCGGGGCTTTAACGAAGCGGAAAAGTTGTATCTTTTTTTTCTGCGGAGGAACCATGTAGTGGCGTGGAAGCGGAAGGAGATGGCTTAGACTCTGAGTTCCAGTTTCCACGGGGTGCACGATCACCAGCGTCCAATTAATTTTTTCTTGTCTTTTTTTTTGTTTCTTATCTTAGTTACGCAACATTTCTCACAGCTCTGTCGTGTCTCTCGCTCCATGTGTCAGACCGAAGAGAGGTTCGGTTGAATGTGACAATTTATTTAAGGTAGACACCAAGGATGTAACGCTTCAACATTCCAAGACGCATTGAGAACCATTAAAAATGTCTTTTGTTCATTTTGTTCAAAAGACCAGAGAAATTGAAATTAATTAGGAATTGATTCTTGCGTGAGGGTCGACGTAAACAACTTGTCTGCTTCTTTTCCCAAAGAAAAGAACAATGCATGGATGCATTTGTGTATTCAAACACTATACTGAAGTTGTTATGCTCTTCGTTCCTTGCGTTGTTACATTATGCTAACTAGTTACAAGCTTTTTAAAAGATTCGCATTTTACACCAACAATTGTGATTTTGAAACATACTTCAAGGTATAATTTGTTAATCATCCAAGCTTAGACTGAAAATGAATGCAAAAGAAACAAGGAAAGGAATAAACATAACACAAGTAAACTCTGTTTAAATGTTATTTGATCTTGTTAACATTTCACTGTCTTAAATCACTAGTAGCTAACTACTGACTGTCATCCAGAGCCTTTGAAACAGAAATGCTTAGTAAGTTATGTTGGTACAATGCCATCACACATCGGTACTTGACAGTATTTAGTCTCCAGATTAACCCCCTGGCAGTTGGAGGACTGCCGAGTAATACAGGTGCGGTGTCTTAATTTCAAGCTGCGTCCGCAGGTAGTGGAGCAGGCGCTCCATTCACTCCAAATCGTCCATTCGTTCCCCGCCAGAGGACCGTCGCCTGAGCCTCCGTCTCTGTAGTCAGTGTTCAATCTCAGACCTTTTCCATCACCTCCGCCATTACCTCCTAAAATGTATAAATAGGTGTAAAATTTTAGGCTGAAAATTTCTGGTTCTAAGTTTCATGAACTTCATTTTTCAAAGTAGGTTTTATCGTTCGACGGCCACTTTTTTTGCTAAATGCTAACAAATGAAGCTCACTGAGAAGGCTTATTCTCTCTTGCCAATTGTCAAGTCTACTCAGATATGAAAACCAGTCAGACGTGTAAAAAATCCGTTTACGAAAAAAGAGACCAGAGTCCAAACTCCGTAGAAAATATGGATTAAACTTGTTAAATGAACCATATTTTGGCTAAAATAAAAAGTCCAAAACTTCCTGAATTTCCAAGCAAAGGGGTAACAAATTTACGCGAACGAAAGCTCAAAAACAGCTAACTAAAACTCCGCGAAAAAAAAACTAAAAGTACGTGAATAATTACCTCGCCAGTCGTTCCATGTCAAGATTAGAGTTCTTTGACGTGTTAGCTAATTTGTGAAATCACTCGCGCCGCGCGTGGATACAAAAAAAAATAGTAAGAGGGGAGAGGAAGAGAAAATTGTTACTTGAAATTTACAAACGAGAGAGATTTTCTACAACACGATCGAAAAATGAAACGCAGAGTTGTCAATTAATGTTTTTCAACGTGGTATCTTTAAGGTAGCTGAGGAGCAAATCTATCAGAAGCTCTCAACTAAAACGAAAGCTTCACTCGACTTAGTTTAATTTTCAAATTCCTCTGTGACCACGATCAAATTCCCTTGAACAGACATGTTTGATCGCTGTCAAGTTGACTGGAAAGGTGGTACAGTTAGTCATCTACGTCACTTTTCCGTTCAAAGTAGCATTTCATGCGTATTATCAGTGAACAGCTCCATTCTTTTCGAAATTGTGATAAGTAAGTACCCAGGAATTGCTCGACGAAAAACCCGAAAATGCAAACAAGCTTGAAATTAAAAAAAAGTCCACATACCAATTACTGCACAAAGAAAAAGAATGGATAAGAACATGATGAATCCCTTTCACTGTATTCAGTCCTCTCTCAAACACAAGAGTAATTCTTAAACGGTCCAAAAACTCGGCAAAATCAAAGTTGTTAGGATGTTGTTGACGCAACCTGACTTGAGCGGAAGTAGCGAGTATGGCTATATTCAAATCAAGAATACTTAGTCGTTTGTAATATAAATTGTTTACATAATAGAGTAGATAATTAGATCCTGGAGGTAACATTCGATCTCCAATCTGATGGTCCAGGTGAGAGTAATTCTGGAAGGACTATGGTCTCTGATTGCGATCGATATTTCGAGAAACTGAGCAGAGTTACTTGACGATGAAATTTTCGTAACGTGCACCGCCGTACTCGAAAACAGTCTTTTTACCTACTACTTTCTCATTAAAGCACAGACTACACGATTCACCGTTTACCTAACGACATGACACAAACTTCCCTCTATGCTTTCTGTGTCCGCTGGTCGCTGAAGAGCAAAGAAATATCCTAAAGGTACTTTTTAGAATATTATGATATCCTAGCATCTTTCTTCGAGTCTCCGAAATTTTCTACATCGTCTTTTATGGCGTAATTTACAAGCATTACAACAATTAATGCATGAATTGATTAATAATTAATTAACTGAAAAATGGAAACTTAACTCGGTACTTTTAGCTGTAGCGGTAAAAAGTACAATTACTCACCCATACATTCATCAAAAGAACAACTGAACCTCTCTGTGGGTGGACCGATACATTGCCTACCATTGTTAGACGGAGTGGGCCTGTTACATTTCCTTATTCTTGTTTTAAAGCAGCTCTTGTCACACTTACCCCAGTCTCCCCACCCAGACCAGCCACCATCAACTAAAATGAGAGGAACTATAAGTGATAAGAATTCCTTGTAATGTTCCTTGTTGGTCAGAGCCAGGTGTAAGAGCTTTCCATTTCTTATCCTTATACCATTACTTGGTTATACATATGCTTGTTGCAAGCGGATCGCACGTTTTAAGAATGAGGATCTTCATCGTTACCTCCCTGTGCTTGAATGTTTCGTTGTAAATGAAAGCAATTATTTCCACTTTAAGCTTTTTCTTTTTACTCTGAAAACAACTTATCTAACATCTCAGTCTAGTTCGATAGATATTTAATTAAATACAGGTTGACTGGAAGATTAATCTATACGGCATGCGATCGATTTATTTCAACAATAAAAAGTGGGCGTTTACTTGATTGTTAGTCCTGTAAACGTTTACCTGGACACAAGACATAATTGTTGCATTTCTGAATCATTTCTCTCGGACCCACACAAGTTTTACCACCATGGGCCGCGGTAGGATTAGTGCATGAGCGAGAGCGTTTTTGTGTTCCACTTCCACAAGTCACACTGCACGTGTTCCAGTCTCCCCATGTTGTCCAGCCACCATCCACTGGAGAAATTTGTTTTTCAAAAAACATTGTAGTTATTGCCATTTTCCAGTATTTTTTACTCTGCCATTAACATAGGGGCTTTTATTTGATTACTGAGCCCGAAAAAGCTCACCTGGACAGAAAACATCATCGTTGCAGTGCCGAGTCATTTCTTTCGGGCCCGAACAATTCTTACCACCATGAGCCACAACTGGATTAGTGCACGAGCGAGAACGTGTTTGTGTTCCACCACCACAAGTCACGCTGCATTTGCTCCAATCACTCCAAGAAGTCCAGCCGCCATTTACTAGAGACAAATTATATATTTTTAGGTAAAGCAGGTTACTAGAGGTAAGGTAAAAATTGTTTGATGCGTTACTGGCTAACGTAAGAAGGAGAGACGAAGTCACAACTTGTTGTTTACATCGTCTCTCCTCACACAACTCACAGCATGATAAGAATGAAGTAAGGATGAGCAAACCTTGTGACAGATCGTTTCTCACCTGGACACCCCACATCGTTGTTGCAAATCTGAGTCATTTCCTTCGGACCTGCACAGGTTTTACCACCGTGGGCTGTGGGTGGATTGGTGCATGAGCGAGAACGCTTTTGTGTTCCACCTCCGCAAGTGGCACTGCATTTGTCCCACTCTCCCCACATTGTCCAGCCTCCATTCACTTAAAGAAAGAGTGATTTAATACTTTCCAGTCATTGCCATCTTTCCAATATTCTCGACCTATAACATAGCAACATTTCCAAAAGCCAAGGAGGTTCTTACCTGGACACAGAATATTATCATTACAGTTCTGAGTCATGTCCTTCAGACCTGCACACGTTATTCCCCCATGGGCTGCGGGAGGATTGGTACATGAGCGAGAACGCTTCTGTGTTCCACCATCACAAGTCACACTGCATTTTTCCCAGTCTCCCCATGTTGCCCAGCCATTATTCACTGGGCAAAAGCATTTTGAATAAACATTACAGTAAAGGTCATGTTCCCAATATTTTCTTTCCAGCCGCTATTCACTGAACAAATGCATTTCTACATTCTGTTAAAAGTCCTGTTCCCTAGATACGTAGCAAAATTTTTTCATGAAAGATACTTGTTGTGCCAGATCCTCCTTGCAAAAATTTTCTTACCTGGACAGAGAACGTCATCGTTACAATTCTGAGTCATTTCCTTCGGACCTGCACACCTTTTCCCCCCATGGGCTGTAGGTGGATTGGTGCATGAGCGTGAACGCTTTTGTGTTCCATTTCCGCAAGTAGCACTGCATTGGTCCCAGTCTCCCCATGGTGTCCAGCCCCCATTCACTTAAAAAAAGAACAGTTTAATACTTTCCAGTCATTGCCATTTTTCCAATATTCTCGACTTACAAAGCAACATTTCCAAAACGTTTTGTCACGTTTTGTGGTCAAGGAAGTTCTTACCTGGACACAGAATATCATCATTGCAGTTCTGAGTCATGTCCTTCAGACCTGCACACGTTTTTCCTCCATGGGCTGCGGGAGGATTTGTGCATGAGCGAGAACGCTTCTGTGTACCACCACCACAAGTCACGCTGCATTTGTTCCAATAACCCCATGACGTCCAGCCACCATTTACTAGAGTTGGGAATACATGTTAAGGAGAGCTAAGGTTAAAAATTGCTCCATACGTTACCTTCCATGTAAGTTGCCTTTCGTCTAAAATAGCGGAGGACACAATCAGTTGAAGTTTTCATTATCACTCATTAAACCTTAATTTAATAGGGAACTAAACAAAGATTATTCAAGACAACTGCAACTGCCGGATATGCATTTGGAAGAGTTTGAAGAAGTAAAAAAATGATGACGTACTAAGGTGTTTGAGAACTATTGAATCATATTGGGATTGAGTCATTTGGAATTAGGCTTTGACATTATCATTTCATACCGAATTGAAAACATTTAAGTAGCGTTTTGCTGGGACATACTCTGGTAGATTAATTTCCACTACTAAAAAAATATAAGTTGATCTTTATGCTTTTTAAGAAACGTTTGCCTCGACAAAAAACATTATCTTCGTTCTGAATCATTTCCTTCGGGCCTACTTAAGTTTTACCACCATAAGCCACGGGTGGATTGCTGCACGATCGAGAGCTCGTTTGTGTTCCACCATCACAAGTCACGCTGCATTTGCCCCAATCACCCCAGGACGCCCAGCCATCATATACAAGTAATTTCTAGCCGAGTTTAAATTGTCTGCGCATATAACCTAAGAGCATGGCTAAGAAAGAGTACGAGACATCCGGTTGTTCACACCATCAGTTTTCATTACACAGTGCGGGACAATACCCGACGAAAAAATTAGTGGTCACTGGTAGGGAAGCCTATTACCTGGACAAGGTATGACGTTGCATTTTTTGGTTTGACTGCTACCGTTCTTCAGACATGGACGTCCCCCGCTAGCAGGGAGGGGGTTGTTACAAGTCCTGTGACGTGTTTGTTTGCCTCCACCACAGGTCTTGGAACAGTCATCCCATACTCCCCAGCAGCTCCATCCTCCGTGAACTTTTGCAACATGAAAATGCGATAATTACAACTAATAGTTAGCACAGAATAGTGGCAAAGATGTAATTCCGGCGTTTAAAATTTCCCTTTTTACTCCTTTGGTCACCTTTCTAAAGGTATAATTATATATTGATACACCCTTGTACGGATGGGGTGTTTGCCCGTGATGGATCTTGGATCCAGTTCAACATTACTGAATGAGTTAGTTGTCTCTCTTGGCACAATACTATTGCAGAGTGTCAAGTAGGAAGTCCAAACTTTCTGAGACATACGGATGTATTGCAAAAATGTTTATTCTGTTCCAGGTGTTCGGTTGGTAAAACGAAGAGCGATAGTAATCAGAGAGAGTGGCGCGGAGGATAGTTAGGCAGAGGAATGAAAAAACGAGGGACGTTTGGGTGGGATGGCGTAATGAACATGACCCAACCCAAACCTCCATCATTTTCCCTCCGCCGCCAATATCGCTTCACTATAGCAGTCCATGATGCTTTTGTGTTCCATTTCCGCAAGTAGCACTGCATTGGTCCCAGTCTCCCCATGGTGTCCAGCCCCCATTCACTTAAAAAAAGAACAGTTTAATACTTTCCAGTCATTGCCTTTTTTTTTTCATACAAAAAAAAACTAAATTGGAGTGAATGCGTTTATAAAAAAAAATTGCCTCACACACAAACCTTGTTGGCAGCACTGTCCACCGTAACGGGGCAGACATATGCATGTTGCTTTTTCTAGAGTACCTCCATTGTGACAATAATGATTACAGCCCCGAGACTGCTTCAAATCAAATGGGCAAACGCCCCCGCACACGGGACGCTTAACAACCTGATGGTGAAAAACACATTAAAAGCAACTTCACATGAAGTATTTTGGGTTTCGAAATTGAGTCTGAATGGTATTCATTTAGTTGTTTCACCGAAAAAAGATTCAAGATTCTTGCTGTTATTGAAGCACAGTGCAAAAGTATGTGATTTGCCTACTGCTATTGATACCCTGACCTTATGCAATCCTGGCTCAATCCTTCTCATTTCTGTGACAGTTTTCATACCCCTATTACTTCGCTCACAAATTGGTTTATTTAGTCGTTCATTCCTTGGTCGCTTTTACATTCTTTTCACTCACCAGGTGCTGAAATTGATTGTTCGGTTCAGTACAGATCTGCTAGAGGCACCCGCAAAAAGAGTTGAAAAATAGCCTACCTTTCTAATGCGTGTCTGCACTCCTCTTGTTCCGCAAGCTACTGAACATGAACTCCATGTGTTCCACTGAGTTACCTTGCAGTGTTTCATGGCATGACAATGTTTTCGCGCAGATGTTGTCGGCTTTCGAGTGGTTCGTTTTCGTGTTGGGGGTTTTGTGGTTTTGTGGCTTATCCTACGTCTATGTGAGTCGACTTTATGAGTGGTTAGTAGAACGTGGACAAACAGGACAAGTAGCAAATACGACTTCTTCATTTTTAACGCTGTGAAACCTGCTCCTACCCTTTACTTTTGCATATGCATGTGTCGGTGCAGTGTTTAGTTGACAATTGGCTTAGAACGACACGCGAGGGCACAGTTGGTTCACGTAGCTAGGCTTTTAGTCGTTAATACTGTTTGCAGAGCGCCAAGTAAAGATTGGAGAGACATTTACAAGCGGCAACAGAGCTTTTCTAAATATTTGTTGAGGATTCAGACAGCTTGGCACACAGCTGGCTTAACGAATCATATCTAAAGAACACCTTTGCATCAACTACGGTAAACAAACCAACTAAAGTGTTTCAAAACTAAAATAGGCCACTCCCATGTCTATTAGAACAAACAATGATATGGCTGATTTGCATCAGAAAGAAATAATATCACATTGCTTATTTCCTATTGATTTAGCAAAATGAAAATACAACTCCTTAGTGACAGCCGCGATTTTCATTGTTGATTGTTCGACGGGTTCTGTTATTAAAGTTTTGTGGTGCTTCACAACTCTCCATAGTGTCTTCACTAACTTTAACGAACAATTCTTAAGCTAGCTATGGATACATGTGACTCTGGATTTTGGGAGGGACCTTCTCCATAATGATTTGAAAGCAGCTCGTTTATTTCACTTTCACTTGAATGTTCTCAGCTTTGAACTCTTTGTTCTTGGTTATTGTTTAAAGGTTCGTTAGATGCGCACTGTTTATGGCTTTCACGTCTCTGTAGATGTTTAGCTGTCATTCATTTTTAGCTACAGTAGCAAAAGCCTTATTATTTTAATATGCATTGTTCATAACGAGAGATAGGCTAGGCTTCAAGCTTCCAGATTCCCTTGTGCTTCAGGACTTCACAATGCTATCGGCTAGTAAAGCCACACTGGTTGGTATATAATAATATTTAAGTAAGTAAACTAAAAAGAAAATAAAATTGATTATGATCTCCAGATTATCTTGTTTATTGAAAGTACTCACTTGAATAAACTTCAGGGTCATGCTTAATACAGGTAACTGGTATCTTGGTAATCACTTGATTCTCAATGTTGCTTATTATCTTGGAAATAACCACTTATGTGAGTCCTTACATCCTCTGTAATGTTTACTGTGCCATCACCGGTATTTTCCTCATTACTATGCGGTGAAAGTGTTGATCATATTTAGTACACCATTCAATTTTGCGTATTCCAGAATCTATAATCAGCAATCACTTCCTAAGTGCACGATAGACATCAGCAGAGAGCCACAATGGCGCATACCGCTGGCTTGTCCACATAAAAAACACGACAATAACTGAATTGCTTCATTAACGATACATATATCACAAAATCTACCAAACACAATAAGAAGAAAACATGTTGTTTGTTCTTGTTTAAAGGCTAAGGTAGATATTCCTTTGCATGAGTGCCATGTTATGTGGGTCGATCAAAACTCAGCAATTGCTGAGCTAAAGTTAAAAATTCTATTTAGAGAGTATTGTCTTCCAAAATTTGTCTTGAACCCAAATTTGAGGAAAACCTGATGCCGTAGGTGGATTCTAAAATTGCACGCCTTTGTAACCGAGAAAACCTGTGTTAAGGTTTCTAAAAATAGTTTACTTATTTTTTTAACACCAATTACTCAATTGATCGCAATTTTTCCTGATTATTTTAAATTTGGTGCAATAAATTCAAATGAATTTCTGAACCTCTTTTTCATTTTTTTCATTTCTAAATAGGTTAAGGTGGCTTGAATTACAGAAAGATAAAACTTTATATGTTGATTGCAATACAAAAATAAAGATGAAAAAGAAAGGGCAACTAGGGAATTCATTGGCATCTAAATTTAAGGCTTTATGCCTGGAAGCTGGGAAATTTTCACAAACTCCATTAACAATTCTTACATGCTCCTTGAGAGTATTAGCTATTGGTTAAGAAATGTCAAGTGCTTTCAAATTTTTGTTGTTTTACCAGTTGACAAAATATGAAAACATGAGCATACTACAAAACTACTGTGTTTTCAACACTCGAGTTTAATTTGCCATTTTCTGGAGTACACAAGCTCAGAAAATTGGTATGAATAAGATCATTTGTGGGAGTCTGGTCAATATTCCTAAATATCATACCAAGATAAATGTCAAGAACACAGTGGTATTTCAGTATCCTCTAGTTTAAGTTATTCCATTCACCAAAACACCAACATAGATTTAAGAACCACTCAACTTTTCTGCACAAATATCTTACATTCTCAAGAAGTTTAAAGGATCCTTTCAGTAGAAATTGTGTGAAAATTCCCTTGGTGCCAATATTGCCACAACATAATTTAATACCCTAACTAATTCCTACTTGGCTTTTTCCCTTTTCATTTTGCTTTTTTCTATGATAACTTTATTGTAAATTGGTGTATATTGTTAATGGACTGAAAAGTACTGATGAAATAAAAGTCAAATACATGGTTGTTCACTCATTGTAAGTGAAGTTGAGTTAACTAAGTGTCGTTCACTGTTTTCATTCTAAAGCATTTATATACAAAATTTACACACATACATGATGACAAGTTAGACTATCTGTATGTGGGCAGGGTAATGCATGCATATTAGGTACATACTTTTTTCACTTATTTGCAACTTTCAAATTTCCCAGTTTACATTAGATATTAGTAATAATTGTAATCATGTTAAGACTGTCTATATCTTTGGCATGGCCAAAAAATCATAAGGAAGAGTCAATTCAATTGACCACATAAATTGAAGAAAAATTGTAAGTTTTAAATGGAGCTGCATGAACTTGAGCACTTATGACTTGGGAACACGAGTGACTAATACAGTATTTAGTCTAACCAAACCTAAAATTTTTCCTTATGGTTTGTGGTGAGATTGAATTCTCTTTAAGTTAAAGGCTCAACTTCTAATAAAAGCCTTATCGAAATCCCCTATTTCACTCTACAACCTTTTGAAGAAATACATATTGACCAATAAGATGCAGAGTATTATGCTACTCATAGACACCTCTTGTTCCTTGTACACAAATAGAGAAATTCAAGTAATTTCATAGACTATCAATAATATCTTGGGAAAAAATTCACGGAGAAGTGCTAATTTTCTTCATCTGTAGTTAAATTTGTACAAATACCATACAAAACCACCTTGAATAACATCATTAGGGTTTAATTTTCCTCAACTGCACAGTCTATCATTTCTTTGGAGAAATACTACTACCCAAGAGGTTTCCAACACATTTTTGGAAATTTATTTCCAACAAAGACAAAAAGGAAAGCTGTTTCTGAAAACCAGTGTAGAACAAATCTTACATGCTTATTTTTTTCAGGCATATCATCAGGATTGTTATTGTGTAAGAGAAATAACACATGCTTAACATGAATGTTTCTCAAAGAACTTGTGTTCCAAAGATGTTATTGAACACCTACCAACTGAAAACATCTCTCTTTTTTATCCATGAAGCCCAAAAGGTCTCATAAAATTACATATCTTTTAACTAGTATGTTAATTTTCAAACAAGTAAACATGAAAATTGATTCATAAATGCTACAAAATTCATGTTTGCTTAAACTTAATATATCAACTATATTGGTAATGAACAGGACATGATAGTTAACTCTTCAACTTAACCAATGGAACACTTTTGGTTGCAATACAGTTGTCACAGACCCACTCTGCATTCTCCTCAGCAGTTAGCAAGTCATAAGCTAGTTCAGTCAAGCCTGTGCAGACACGATGATACCATTGTGCGCAGCCTGTCTCACAGAATATGGCGTCATCGTTATCATTTACTTCCCTTTTACAAATGCCACATGGATACACTGGATCAATTTCATGGCTTGGTCTGTTTATTTCCAAAGTGGTCTAAGGAGGTAATGAATTGTTGTAAGAATACAGTAAAAACCTAATTTGATGCTAGACAATTTATTTTTTTCTCCTAATTAAATAAAAAAACAAAACTTAACAAAAACAAATAAAAAAGGAAAAACAAACAAAAAACAAAACTCAGCAAACACTGAACTATTTAGCTGACCCCTACCCCTTTTTCTCTTAATCTCAACCCTATGGTAGCCGACTAGAATTCAGTTAATATTGTCTGCTCGTATGGTTTGTCATATAAAGCTAGAACTTATATATTCTTCACCCCAAATGCTCTAAATTGCTTGTTTAAGTAACAAAATTTAAGCTCATACTACGAGTAACCAATTCCAGACTAACATAACAAGTGTATTCATATTGAATTTATAGACAAACAATACCTCTGTAGGATGTGTATTTGATTCTGTGATAAAGGCGGGAGGTACACCAAAGTGTTGCATTGATGTAACAGGGCTAACTAAATCTGATGGGCCAGAGCTCTCCTTTCCCTGTTTCTTTTGAGGACTCTCTGGGTTAGATCCACTGCTTTCTCCTTCAGCCTCTATTTCATCGGGATTAGCACCATCTGCGAGGAAGAAGTTTCCCTAAATTTTTAAGTTTACTCCATGAACGCTTAAACATGGACAAAGAAGTAAGAAGAGGAATTGAACCTTTTGACTTTAGTTTAGGCTTTCTTATGGCTGAGTTTAAAACTAAAACCCCTAAATAAAATGTATGTATATAGAAAGTCTACAAGAAGATAACTTCATTGCAAGGAAATGTATCTCTTACCTCTAAACCTTGCAGGAACCTTTCTTTGGCGAGGCATTACTCTGCACTACGAAAATGACGCTAACGAAATCAACTATGGCGGATTGTTTATTTCGATGCTTGAATAAAATGTGTCAGGTTACACAAAGCAAAATATTGTCAGGTGAGGAACCACTGACCCGACAGCTCGGGTACAACTAAGATGGCAGATGAACAGCGAAAGCGACTGTCGTTTAGAAATCCTTCACATCAATCACAGGTGTGTAAAAATATTTTCTAAAAACTGAACGAAAAAATGAGCATATGGCCGTATAAATAAGATCGTTTAGTAAAAAATTGTTATCTAAGCTCCTGAGTCCTATGCTATAAGCTCCTGGTTCCCTTTCCTACCCAAGGCACTCAGGGAGTTGCTCGGCTATCCTCGAAGAAATTGCTAAGGGGGGGATACGATTAACAGGGAGAGCTTAAAGGAAAATGGAAGAGAGAAAAACAAACCATTTTTTTTAGTGGGATGGCGGCTCTATCTTAAAATGAGAGGTTTTGATTATTAAGGAATTGTATGTCGCCCTCACCATCGGATGATGATGTTCATTCACCACCGGAATGAAATCAGAAATTTGTCCTGGGAATTTAGAAATCAGGCCCACAGGAGTTAGAGATGTTTTGCCACTTAATTGGTGTAAACTCAAGGTTCTGCAAGTCGCACCTCAGAAAAAAAGTGCGTACATGATCATGAAAGTCCAGTCTCTGTGGTGTTTGTTAACCTGGAAGAACTTCATTAAATTGGAATGTCTAATTTATAAAAACTCTCACAAGGCAAAACCTGATTTACTAACTAAAAGAACAAATTTCTTGGTTTAATTCTTGGGGTCAGTAGTTCTACAGTCAAATATCCTGATTTTAGTGGGGAGTTGCATAATTTTCAATCTGCATGTTCATCAGCTTGACCCTTTTTTTTAAACAATTGGTTTGTACAGGAAGTATGGAAACTTTATGATTGCATCTTGATTTCGAAACCACCTGGATCTGTTATAAATGCCAATTCGGTAGAGGTGAGTAAGTGCTGTACATGTACATGGTGATATAAATGGCTCAGTAACCCACTCATTCAGTGGAGTTTCAAATAGAATCAAGAAAATTGCAAGTTCAAACTCAAGATCACTAATTTATTTGAAGACTGCAAATGCAAGTGCTATATTAGTTTTGGAACTGTATATGCCATTAAGGAGCCAGGACTAACAAAGTTAATTCCCAGGACGTGTTTGAACTGAAGATACATAAAAGGAACAATAAAAACTGACCATACTAAACATAGCACAACCATTGAGCACTTTGCTTTCTTCCTCAGATTCCTGAGCTCAAGTTATTATGGGAGTTGACTGGAGATTCTTCAGAAGTTTTAAGCAGATTGTGTTGTAATTGCTTGGTACAGCTAGTTGTTGATGACCATGCTGAATTTGAATATATCATAAGAGGACTATTAAGTGTGGCTCCATCTGCAAGGTGGGTCTTAACACCTACATCCAAACCTCTTTAATGTTAACTACAGGGCAAGGTGATGATCTGTCTTAGGCAGCCAAGATAAATCAAATATTTCCCAGATGCTAGCTCTTAATTGTGATTATATCCTTGCAAACTGTTTTTGAGTCAAAGGGGTTGAGTGGCTTTTTCTAAGAGGGTGACTGGTCCTCTGTAGAGGAGCCAACCATAGTCAAAGATGCATTAACATTTTGGGTTGAAGCTAACCTGTATTTGTTTAGCTACATTACACAAGCCAGTAACCTTACAAGCTGTGATCTTCACCTATAGGTGTCTTTATTTATAATACACAGAAATCTGAGTGGTATATCAAAAGCCTTGAGTTGTTTGCTGACCTTTCAAGTTTATAAGTGTACTACAGCTGGTATGGAATATATATGCCCCTTTTCTTTAAGGTCAGTGTTGTACAAATGGCATTAAACTCATTTTATTTAAAGTTTTTTCATCAAAAGTTTATTTCATTGACACTCTTATCACAAAAAAATTCTTATAACTAGCAAAATGAAAGCACAACAATTGTCACTGACAATACACTGCAATCTTATGATACCTAAATATTGCATGTTGTTTACGGTAATTATATACATGTGATTTATGGAGTGTTTCTTCATTTACCTGACTGTTTATTTCTGTCTTATCAGGGCCTCTCCCCACCCATTCATTACACTAGTGATAAGTTGTCCTGAAAGTGCAACAATCCTGATCCAAGAAGTCAGTGTTTTACTTGTAAACAGTATCAAAAGGTACAGCCATACTTAAATCCCCCAACCAATTTTCCTGATGTTGTGGCAAATCTTTTATGTTTTGAACTATGCATGGTATTAATTCAATTTTCAATTATTGTGTTTTAGCAATGAGATCACTCAGTTCCATTAGTCAGATGTTAAAACTTGCCTCTCCTACAGTGTCACATTCAGCTTTAAACAAGTTTGAAATTATGTTAACTCACCTAACATGTTTGCTTATAATTTTGTCAGGAGTAAACCTGGTTACAAAAACCAACTTATTAAAATATGCTCTAACAAAAGTTTTTAGGGCAATTTGCAGAAGTCTGTCTCTAAATTGAATAAGAATGTTAATGTTCAGAGGTGGAATCAGAAATCTGGAGATTTTTGCTTGGAGCTAACATACCAATTCCCCACCCCCTTCCCCTCATCTCCTAGATTTGTTAACTGACTTCTTTTTCCTGGTGTCTCCTCACAAAGTGGAAGTCATTCTTAAAGTTGATACAAGCAATAAAAAATTGAGGAACCCCACTTTACCTTAAAGTCCTTGACATATTTGATACCTGGTTTCCCATGTTTTTGGAACCCTTTATGTTACTTGTAAATGGGGAGAAGAGTATGCAAGTGCAAATTAAGCTTTGAAGAATTAAAGGAGGAAAAAGCAAGTACCCTTACAGAGAGCAATAGCAATCCAAAAAGAGCTTTTTCTTGACATGTTAATGCAGCTTCCTTTAAGGGTTTTGAGCTGCCAGAGTGTATCAAGATGATACATATTCAAACAGCAGTCCCCAGCCTCTGTGAAGCTACTTGAATGTCTTTAGAGTAAACTCAAAATTTTTTCACAGAAGCACCACACAAGATTGATAATCCTGAGCCTCCATGGGGAAACTCCTACTCTGAAAAGTCAAAATGGTGTAAAACTTAAACACATATACAATATTAATCAAGAACATATCTGCCATAGAATTAACCCTTGAGAAATATTGAATTTGTATAACATCAGAGACAACAGAGAAAGCCACAACCTTTGAAGTTTGACTTTTTGTACGAGATTACAATCATTATAGTTACCAATATGTAAACAATCATTCAAGGCAATATCAAAAAAATGATTTTTTACAAGGAATATTTCAACAGCAAATTTGCTAACAAATGTGTTTGGTACAAAAAAGGTAAAAAACATGCACAAGTAAGATTAAAAAAAGAAATTTAGTATAGGGTGGACCATTGTGTAAAACAAAATCCACTAACCGTCTGATAAAATGGAATTCATGTGTTTTGGTGGTATGCAACTTCTCAAGAGCTCAGGAGTTTTTCTTTTTCCGTTTTTTTTTTTTTTTTTTTTTTTTTTTTTTTCAAGAGATAGTAGGCTATGCATATTTTTTAAAATATGGAGTGTAAAATGATTGAAACCAATACATGGGTGGGTTAAGTTTAGATGAATTTTTAAGTAATTATAAAAATCTTTGGGCTCAATATGCTAGAAGGGTTAACACAGATTATGCAACTGTGTTGTGTCCTGGGGAACATACCATTTTTGTTATCCTATGGGTATTTTTTTTTTTTAACAGATATCTCAATTGTGATCCTCGATTTATTCTACGGATGCTGGAATCATTTTTTAAGTTTGTTCTTTTGGATCCAAATGTCACAGTTAATTGGTTTACTAGGCAGCAACTTTTAACAACCCTCTTGCAGACAGCCAGTGCTTTACTTCAATGTACTGGTATGTCTAAATTTTAGTGATTTGTTAGAGAATTGTAGCAGTCCATTTTGTTCTAGCATATATTCACATCTTTATACATTCAGCATGCATTCATTTATGACATCATCCTGGTGTAAGTTCTACCTCTTTCCTAAGAAGGTACTACGGTAAAAATCCTTGTGTGTGCATAGCTGTGCATCCATAACATGATGCATGCAGTTTAACTTCAGCTGAAAGTTTCCATCAAGTGTAGCGGCATGTATTATGCAATCCTCTTGAGTTCACTTGATAGATTGGAACAGGCTCAATTTCTTTTTATGTACTAAGATATCACTAAGATATGTACTTTGTTTTGTTATATTAAGAAACTGATCACAGCCATGAAGAAGTTACTGAGAGAAAAGTTCTTGTTGGGGATATTATTGATTTATTGACATCTCTTGTTCCCTGCTATCAGGTCAGTTTAGAATCAATTGGTTATGATAAGGAACATAACCTTTATGAAAATATCTTATACTTTTTTGGCAATTGAGTAATTGGTTGCAGTAGATTCTTTGAGAAAAGTACATTTCTTTTCCGCTCCTCTAAAGGGGAGAGGTTTATCTCTACTGGTCAGTAGGAAAATATGTGATCTGTCTCATAAAAATTAGTTACAACATACCTGTATCCTAAAGATTTGGACTATCAAAGTCCAAACAATTAACACTGAGTTTATTTACAAGAACAGTCTTCTTCTTAGTAGTTTCAGTGGCATGTTTTTATGTCAGTCTTATGTACACTCATAATACTGTAGGTATGAAGTGCTTCCATTTTCCCCTCTTTTTTACCTGAAACTAGTTATTATTTTCATATCAGTAGTAGAAAAAGTTATGTTACTATTAAGTCAGATAGTCTTGCCATGATAGTTGGATCATTTTGTGTGGTTAGACCATTGACCAGTTGGACCATTCTAAGTGATTAGACCATTTTATCGAGACAGATCATAGTTAGACCATTTTAAGCAGTCCAACTGTTTTTGGTGATTGGATCATTTTATCTAATTAGATCATTTTAATTGATTCAATCATTTTATGCTGCTGAACCATTTTCTCTAGCGAGGCCATTTCTATCAGTTGGATTATTTTCTCTAGTTAGACCATTTACTACTAGTTGGATCATTTTATATAGTTACCCCATGTATTACAAGCTGGACCTTTTATCTACAATCAGCATCCAAATTAGTTGACACACACTTAAAAAGGGCAAAAGAGATAAAAGTAAAGTAATAGGGGGTTGAAAAGGTCAATTTGTCTACAATTTTGTCACCTATTTGTAGTTAGGCCATTTCTGCCAATCAGCCCATTTCCACATTTACTTACAACCTTTTGGACCATTTAATGTCAGTATTTTAATTATTTACACTGGTTGGAGTGTTATATGGTTAGTCCATTTTATCTAGTTAGTCCATTTATGTTAGTTGGATCCCTTTGAACCAGTTGGACTACAATGACTGGTTGGACAATTTCAGGCAGTTGGCCAAATTATCTAGAAAGATCATTTTAAGCAATTGGACTTTCTGAACCAGTTGAACCGTTTTGTTTTGTTAGATTATTTCTACCAGTCTGACCAGTTTATAAGTTGGACCATTTAAAGCAGTTGGACCATTTTATCTAGTTGGAGAATTTTAACTGACTGGATCACTGTAACCAGTCAGACCATTTTATCTAGTTACCCTACTTTAACTATTGGATCGTTGTTCTGTTTCAGTCAAACCTTGATAATCTGGACTTGTTGGGACTAGACAAAATAGTCAGAATAATTGAGGGACCGGATAATCGAGAATATGAATATTGATGAGGAACAAAAACTGATTAAATTAAGAAAGCCACATTTAATTGTGAAACAAAACATTTACAAATCGTTTTGAAAAAGTATGGTCTACATCTTCACAGTCTCTTGTGGATACCTCTACACATGTGTATTAACAATTAAAATCACTGAAAAGTGTTTTTACATTGGCCTAAAATGTTGAAGTAGGTCAGTTTGTCTTAAAGAAGAACATCGCATGCGCATAGAGAGTTCCATCATTCTTCAAAGCTGCATAATCTGAATAGCGTCAACATTGTTCTGTCTTTCCATCCATAATAAACACTTTTTAACACATGATGCATATGAGTGCTTCCTATTGCTTTTTGAAAGCAAAACAAACTTGCCTTTACTTTTCAATGCTGTAGTTTTGAAAAGAATATGGTTATGGATTTTGATCATGACTAATAAATATTCATGACAAAATTGGGACCAAAGAAGAAGGTCACAAAATCATCAAACTGAAAATTAAAATGAACCAAGACAGTTAAGAGTACTATGAAAAGCATTTCATCCATTTTTTATCCTTCATATACATGCATTTCAGATATTTTGTGACCTCTTTCTTAAAGTACTATATCCTGATCACTTGTTCTCATTATGTGGAATGTCTGTGGCAGACCACATGAAAAATGTGCTTGAGAGCCCTCATAGTCAAATATGGAATTAGCCATATGCTTGTTAGCCTCATGTTAGTGCTTATCACTAAACCTCTGTTGGCTGGGTTACCACCTGGTTGGGTGATCACACATAATATTCTGTTTTGTTGACTCTTTTAGTCATGGTTATTTTTTTTCCTGTACTTTGAATACCGGTATAGCATTAAATTTATTATTTTCCACATAAAATCAGAGTGACTGTAGATAACCACTATTGCATTCCACATTAACACCTCCAGGTGTCTTGTTACTCTGACAATTATTGACCTTTCCAATAAACCTGGGAAGAAAATAGAGAAGTCGAAATTTGTTTTTCAAGGATCTAATTGTAGGGATTATTTTAACCCTTTAAAATCAAAACTTAGCTTGGTTAAAGGATCCTATTCCAGATGCTTTTAATATCCCTAGCTATTTATCAGTGTAAATATGCAGGATGTAACTCCCATGACATTAATGAGACAACTTGCCATTTTTGTAGTACGGTACTGGAACATTTATTGACTGCCAAAAATTATCATGCTTATTTGCACTTGTTTGTCCCTTGTTCTCTAGATTGATGACAAATCTCTCAGTCATACAACTTTTCTTGTGCACAGTCTGACAAACTGGTTACTTGAACATAGAAATTCTTTCCCTGGTGGTAAGTTTTAAAGAACAAAAGGAAAAAGAGGATTTTTTTGGAAACTTTTAAATGATAGAGAATGATGTTTTTTCTGACTTGTTACGAGTGTGGGACAAAGAAAATATTCTGAGTCCCCATGAGGAATCAAACCTCAGACCTGTGGATTCTATGCTCCAATGCTCTACCACCAAGCCACAGAGACTCCATGGTGAGCAAGGTCTGTTACAAAGTTCATGTGACACATGTCCTACAAACTGCTAGGATCAGCAATGTCGATAGCATAATGTTTGTAGATAGAAATAAGAGAGATGGTAGATTTTGAGCTTGGTAAAGAAATAGAGAATGATGTTTTTTTTGTCTTGTCACGAGTGTGGGACAAAGAAAATATTATTGTATTCATGTAATATTATTATATTATATATTAATATTATTATATTTATATAATGTACTTTATAATATACTTTATTATATTTTGATTGTGATTATTTTTTTTAAATAATTACCTTTGTTCTGCATGGTATATTTAGGTACTAGCCATTTGGAGCTGATGGTGAATCATTTGTTTTCTTTGTGTTGCGAGAGTCTGTCTTTTGGCTCTGACATGACATCATCCATCCTCTTATTGCAAACAATTCAACATCATTGTCCACAGGTACTGCTTTGGTAACTTATTTAGTAAAGTAAGGGCTCAAAACTCAGAACAATTGCTAAAGGCCAAATGAATGGCAAGAGTGGAGAGTCAAGTAGTTTTACTATTTTAAGTTCTGAACTGTGTGATATTATTAAAAAATGAGTTTTCCAGGTTAAATGGTAAACTTTTATGGTTTTGAGCTCACTTGTTAGTCATTCAAATAGAAATGTAAGCTTTTAATGTACATGTATTTGTTTTAGTTCAATTTTTTTTATCAAAATTTCATTTGGATGAAGAATTAACATTATATAGGAATTTTCAAAACCCAGGAAAATGTATTGATTCTTGTTATGTGACTTAAGTGAGTTTCAAATTGATGAAAATTGACACAGTAGTTACAGTTAATTAATTCTGAATAATATAATTGATTTTTCTTATTAAAGGCCTTCTTGCAATTATACATCTTACCAACCTTGAGCAAGCTTCTTCTGGATTCACTGGGAGACTGTTACATTCATATTCTTCAGCTCTGTAAGTGTCAATCCTTCTGGTTTTTTAAGATGTCTTGATGAAGCAAGGGTAAGAGAGGTCTAGTTCTTAACTGAAGCACTCTGCACTTAGGGTCTTGATCTTGATCTTGATAAGACCATTCTTGAATATGGCATTAAAAATTTTCATCTTTCTTCATGTAGGTTTGTCAACAGTGCAAACTCAATTAAAACATTTCAAGCCTGACTGCCTGTTTCTCCCCGTCAGTCATTTATTTCTTGTGCAACCAATACTTCAAATTATAACATCACCTCCCAGGCAGACATTCAGCATAAGGATGCAGGGTGGCACTGTGCATTCTTTACACTGTAAAGCTCTCAAGATCTTAGGATTTGTGGAAAACAATGTTATTCCCCTAATTGAGGAAAACCAAACTAAGGTGAGAAGTGCATACATGTATGTGATGATTGCCTCTGGCTGCGGTGGGAACAGTTAGAGTACACTGGTTGATTGATTTGAATTACTGGTAATTATCCTATGAAAACATTTATAAGCAGCTGAATCAAACAGTGATTGAAACATAGTTGCATACAAGAATAATTCTGTGCCTTTTTCACACAATAAAACTTGTGGAACCTCTTGGAAAATTTAGTTGCAATAAGTAGATATACTTGATAACATGCACAATTAAAACTTGAACAAGATGACACAATGAAAGAAAAGTACATATCATACAATGAAACATCAATCAGCTTGCAGCAATCTCAAGAAAGAATAATATGCTTAACTTTTCAAAAATATGGGAAGCACATAAGTTAGTAGGTTTTGTCTTTTTTTCAGACTATTGGGAATACTCATCAGCACTATGCTTCAGCTCTGAGTTTGTGTATCAGACAGATGACAGCCTGTGCTGAAGAAATGATCATCTTAATTAGGTAATAGTGCTATGCTAGCTGTGAAATATTTTTGTGGATTAGTCCTGTTTTCAGGAGAAAGAAGACTTTATGGTCAGATAATTTATGTATGACTGTTTTCACTTTCTCAGAAACACCAAATCTACAAAGCACTGGCTGAGCAATTTACAGAAGTCAATAGCTTCACACCGTCGCCTGCTAAGTCATGTTCCTTTGATGTTGTCTGCATTGTTGGTGACTTCACAAGGATCTCTTGCTATGGAAGTCTTAGAAGTTATCCCAATTTTAGCAAAGGCAGATCCATCACAGGTCTGAAAAATAAAGTCTGTGTCTGCACTGTACACCAACAATAAAATGGACAAAGAAAGATGTTAGATAGAAAAATACTCGGACTACCTTGTAACTTATTTATTTAATCAGAACTAGACTTACCGTTGGTTGTTTTACCCTTAAGTACTAATGACAGTATTCCAGATACTCCTGTATCAAGAACAAACGTAAGCTACTTGCTTTGGTCTGACAGAGCTTACTAATCTCATGTATGGAACAAATCATGTGGCTTTACTATGCGTTTAACTTTTAGCAGGCACCTGCTTTTTCATCGTTTTTCGGTCTTAAACCAGTAGCGATCTTCTCTATTCTAGAATTAGCCGCACAAGTAACCGTTGATTTTCTTCGATATTATGAACTGCAAATGAGCCCCAAATGGAGCATAGCCTTCTCCCTTTAGAATCGGCTTACTTTGAAAGTGGTTACAGATTTAGAATTGTGTTCATTCGACCCTTTTTTTAGGCTCGGTATTCACCGGTTTATGTGATGTGTCTTATTTTGCAGGCTGTTACTTTTCTGCCATTAATACTCTATAAACTTAGTAAAGAAGTTGATCCTGAAGTGAAACAGTATGCTCTGTACACTATACCACAACTTGCCACTCACAAGGTACTCCGGTTTCTTCAGTAACATGTAGCCGCTAACCAGTTTGTAGGGTGGTCTGATGTCGAGGGGTGTGGAGGTTTTTTTATAAACACATTATTATTTTTAGTTTAGCGTGAAAAATTGTGAAAAATGTAGTTTTATCATGTGACTACTTCTGTAGAAATTTCCTCACCCGTGCATAAATTATGTTCATTTTCCTTTTTGGCAGTTTTGTATAGGTCCTGTGTTACGCACGATTCAGACAATAGGAAAGTGTCCTCTTCTTAAGCCTGTTTCTCTGAGACTGATTTGCAAGTTGTGGCAGTCAAATAACCGAGTGTTTCCGCACCTTCAGAAAGCACTGAGTTCAGTAGTTGACTCCAATTTGGGAGCTGAATTGGATTTGGAGATTAAGATTGCTCAAGCAGCTTGTTTATTAGACATCTGCAAGCTTAGGTAACGATCGTACGAAATAAAGTACATGTGAGGTACGCAGAACGCATTTGTAGCGAAGATTTACCACAGGGAATTTTGTTTAGTTCATCAGTTGCTTTTGCTACTACTACTTTTATGCTTTTTTATATGCTGCGATCATGCATGGACATTTCACAAAGAGAATCCCTGGCAAAAAAAAAAAAAAAAAAAGGAGTGAGCATGTTGATCATATGAATTTCTCGAAGTTTTGAAAGTAGGCGATAAAGATCCACGTTCTGAGGAAATAGAAAGCTTATCAAAAATAGCCACAACATATTTTTTTCTTCATAATATGCCCTTTGAATTAAAACAGAGCTGAGAAAAGTGTTTGGCTGCTTTCTTTCTTTCTTTTTTTTTATTCAAACCCGACATAATTGCGGTCATGCCAACGGGGAAAAGAGTGAAGCAAGCTTATTTTCAAAACATTTTGGAGTGCTCTGCTTCAATTTGGTAGAAATTAAAGGTGATTAGACGTCTTGCTTCCTTCGCTTGTGAGATGTAAGACATATCAGCTGAAGCATATAACGTAGTTCTGGGTTAAACAATTCTTATATATTGGAGGCCATAAACGCGATCAGGGTTGCCAAAAATGCATTGTTTTTAATAAAAGTTTGAAATAATATTTGATTAATCCTGATTTGGAAGCATCTCCGTCGTTAGTTCATTAAAATAAATACTCAAATAAATAAATAAATAAATAAGAACTAACAACAAATGAGACGCATTTATACTTTAGGGGATAGAAGTTGCAAATGAATAATCATGTTTTATGACTAATTTTGCCTGATATATGTTGGTGGTCCTCTTCAGGCCCTCTCAGCACGGTGAAGATCTACTTGGTTTGCTGTCCAAATTGCTTGATGAGAATACAAAGCCAGGCGAGACTAAAAACACTCCCTCTGCATTAGTGGTATCATTAGCACTGCAAGCCCTGGAACAGCTTTGTAAAGCTGAGGTATGTCACACGAATTAAATTTTGCATCTGCCCTTGACTGCCTTTAACGTCAACTGAGTATTTATTGAAAACAAACAAACAAAACAAAAAAAACAAAACAAACAAAAAACTAACAAAAGTACAAGTACATGATATCATCTTCAACTTCAGGCTTCCGTAGATGGACACTTTTTCTAGATGTGATTCAGATCTGTGTCACATTTTTGTTCTTCCTCAGGTTGTCGATCTATGCACTGCGTGGAAAGTCCTTTCCGTGAAGCTTGGCATGGACAGACGGCCCCAAGTTCTGTGCAGTATTTGTCAGTTGTTCAGAATTGTATCCGACCTGGTCTCTAACTCTTCAGCTTATCTGGTACGAGTGGTTTGCTTGAGGTTTTAAACGTTGCTCTAATTTTTTTAGCTGTTTCAAGGGAATTGAAAATCATGGATATCTTTGCAAACGAATTTTTAGAATTAACTCCGACTTGACATTTTCTTTCCTTTTTCAGGATTTTAAGAATGAAGTACTTACCTTTCTATGGTCGTTAACGCAGCATGAGGTTCGTATGACCGCTGTAACGGTGATATGTTCTTCTAACAAATGCACGAGACGTTGTTCTGCTCAAGGTGAAGTGATATTTGATGATAACTGAACGTAGGGAAGAGCAATGTTAATTGGTAATCACATGATTTCGAGTGCAATTTGGAATAAATCAGCACGAGTAAATTTTTCAAAGGCTAAACCAATTGCACGAACCCGTAGGGTTCGCACGAGGAAAATCATGTGATTACTAGTTGATAATATACAAGCAAAATCATGACTGTTTTCCTTTTAGATGTCCTTATTTCGTGTAATGGCTCACCAGTTCGGCCATTTGCCTTTGTCTCGTTACAGGAGTAGTCAGGCTTTTTCTCTTTGCTTCAAACTTTTAAAATTTATCTGGAGAATAATCAAGCGTTTATATTCTTCTTTCTCTGTTAGGTATCGGTCGATAGTAATAACCATCTCGTGAAAGCTATCACATTTGTAATCTTCCACGTCTTTCGTACGAACTGTTGCATAAAACTCCTCGAGAATTTTACTGAGGGCCTCCGTTTCATACTTCAATCCGGTTTTGGAAGCTAGACTTTTAGCCAGTTGTTTTTCCTTTGTTGGATGTTTTTTTTTCTCTAAGCATTCTCCCTCAAACTCTGGATTAAAACGTTGCTACTTTCTCCTAACCTGTCCGCCATTTTGTTTTGTTGGGCTTTCGCGACTTACCAGTCAATCAATTTAATGTCAACTCTCTGCACTCAACTTCAATTTTCTGCACTACTTGGTATTAATTGACGTGTTTTCAGCCAAGGAGTACGCTAAAATTTTGCATGTGTATTATTACGTGTGAAATTGTATGTATAATAAAAGCTAAGTTTTTCGTTTGTCTCACTATGTAGTCACGTGTGATGTAGATTGCGACGTTTCGACTGCATACTGCTAGTCTTCTTCAGGCGATGAGGTCGACGTCGACGTCGATTTCACTAGGTCTTCTGTTTTTAGAAATCCAAAGAAGTGACTCAGACAGAGAATGTAGAAATCTTTTTTAGAAACTCCTGAAACCGAAAATATTAAAAATAGTTGTAAACTGTAACCGTTATCGACGTCAGAGGGTCCAATGAAAACAACAAAAAAATTGTCAGGGACACGAAGAATAAGTTCTCAGTTGGTAAAGCCGCTGAACAAAGCCATTGACTGCCAGGAATCAACGTTCATTTATTGATGCTTACTGTGTGGTTTGGTCTCTTACCATCAGGAGTCGCCTGTCGCTCATGCTGCTTTCACGACTTTGTCAATATTTCATCCATCTGATTTCAAGCTGATTCATCTTCCTCCAAAGGTATTGTAGTGTTTGTATGAAGCCGTCGGTTAAAACGCTCTATATAGTTATTTCTGGTTTAGTTCATCGTTAGTTCGCATCAGAGTCCAATCATCTCTGTAGAGTATTCGGTATCAACTTGATATGTGGACCTCATAGCATCTAAACCACAAATCAGATGTTTTATGTTAAATGTATGCCATACGTAGATCTACCTTCCACTGAAAGAAGAATTGCTGGCGTCTAAGAAAAAACTTGATGGCAACGTGGATGAAGAGTATGATGAAGCCGCTGTACACCAATCCATTGATAACTCAATGCCCCCTGGGACTGCTTATGTTGAGCTTCTGCAGATGGTCAAACAAGATGAACTCCAAGGTACAAAATCTTACTCTTCATTCTATTCGTGAAAATCAGTCTTTTTACAAATAAAACTCAACGGGATTGATCCAACAGTACCATTCTTTGCATCCAGTCAGTCACCGATTCCACCCTAAGAGCGTAGCAAACTCCTTAATACAACAGACAATGATTTTAAATAACTCTTTTGAATCAAGATATGTTATTGATGTCGCTAAATCCGCCATACTGTGTGATCCCAATGCCATGTTGTATCACAGTAAACAAAGTGGAACCTACTGGTGGTATCAGCTCTAACACTTGAACCAGTTCAGCGTGTTAAAATGCTGAAAAAAAAAACAACAACGAAAGCAGAAAAAAATTACTAGTTCTTGATACAACGAATTTCAGGCTACCAGAAGCTATTGACCAACATGATCAAAGTGGAAGCTGAATCTATGCCACGGGGTTTGGGTCACACTTCATCATCACATGAGAGGAATTTGCGATCCATCCCAAAATTTTTGACGTCACAATATGAGAAGTCGAAATCACCTGGATTGAACCAAGGACTTGCAGGTACCAAGAATACAACAGATATTGATTTATAATTGTATAACTTGTTACCATATTTTTAAGCTCCCTGATGTATATCAAGAGAAACAGCGGGGACAGATATGGACAGTCCGGGCCTTGGCTTGGATATATTGATTCCACAAAATGTATTTTTAGTTAAACTGAGGTTGTTTTTCTCTAGTTGTCGGCAATGCGAATTTTTCTATTTCCCCTTCCTCATCTATCGATAGTGTTATTTTCCACGTTCTCCTCCGTCATAATCTGTTCACCTACATCATCAGACTCAGATTACAGTTAGCTGTAATGCGGTTTCAAAAAGAGACTTGCGTACGATAGACTTCTTGTTTATAAGTTAAATGGAAATTGTATCATCCCAAAGTGTGGATCAGATGGTAACTTCCCTCTCTGTCCCTCACTTTCTCCTTTGCTACGTTGCCAAGTCTATTTACGTAATATCTTTTAGTACATATATCAGCCATGGAAGTTTCTTTCTACTTTCAAAGTTTGTGAGTGGCGCCTGTTTTATGTTTCTCTATGTGAACTACTCTTTTGTATTGAATCAGCTGGAATGCTGTTTAGTTTCGAACCTCCTTTTGAACAACACGAAGGGAAACGGGCCAGAAAATATATGGTTGATTGTGCTCGTACATACAGACAGATGTTAGATTCACTACTTCACGAAGTAAGTCATGCAAACAACCTAATCACTTAAAGTACTTCTGTGTTGTTTATAATTAGTATTTTTACTTGATTGTCAGCAAGTTTCTTTTCCTTTTTTCAGGCTAAGTTTTTATTCATTTTAGAATAATCAGACATAGTCATGAGTATCGGTGGTCACTCACAACAAGAATTCATCGACTCATTTGATGCACCGCAGCCCGTGTGACCCAAAATCACTGATTTTTACGCGAATAGTTCCAAAGGAACTCACTCCAATATCTGTAGACGTTTCCGTTAGAAAATTGTCTCGTGACAAAGTTAGTAATGCAGCCGTGATCTCAATGATGCCAAAAACGTTTTTTTATTTTTTCAACACCACTTCATTTATTAGTAAACCATTTGCTGATATCCACGAGAATCAAACGGAACAGCTTAAAGGAACAGATTATGTCGAGGATTATATAAACGAGCACTTTTCGTGCAGTTGATAGCTGTTATGTTTTTTATGCATCACTGTGTTGCATCACGCATGACCAAACTTAAAGCAACAGCGTGTTATCGAAAACTTTTAGTGTGGAGGACTTTCCCTTTTGATTTTACTGGGCAAATTTTAGCAAGCAAGTTCCTTTTTTCTTTGATAACGGTAGAACGCTATTTGAAAATTGGGGAAACATCACTTTGGGAATGTCAATGGAAATGCCTTAGTTTTATTTGAAGCAGGTTGGGTCATTTATTACCGTACGAGTGAAAGGGTTTATATTCAATCAATTCGATTCGAACTTATGTGATTAGTCAAACGCATGACATGATTGGGTATGTCGCAGCTAAAAGTGGAGAGTTTTCAAGTGATATTCCCCACAAATTTAAATCTTATTTCCAATAGACTTAGTGTGATTTCTTAGTGAAAATCGGTTCATCTGTCTGTTGTGTGCGGATTGGCTACACGTATGTTTGATGATTCATCCTATTACATTAGGTACCAGTGCAGCCGACTGAATGGCACAGAACATTACTGCTGCCTCAAGCGTGGTTTTCCTTCATGAATCGCGCTTACAAGGCTTGTGTGGAGGTACGTATGATTTAATAAGCAGATTTTCTTTTCCCGTCCTCTTGACAGAATGGATCCCATCTTTACTGGGCTCAATTAAATATTTGCCATCTTTCCTGTTCTATTAATGTGCTCTATCCTTTGGACATTGTTGATCCCAGGAGGATGCTCAACAATCTTCACAAGTGATTGACGAAATACGTACGAAAGGCATTTTAAAAATCATCTCTCCTCAAAAGATCCATCTGGTTTCCTTCTACTCGTTATCCTATCTGTGTTACTCCTTAAACCATCCGGTGGTCTTTTTTACTCAGGCCGTTATTTGATTGGAAATGCTATCACTATCCACATCATAGCGTAGACTCCGCAGAAGGATTTAGGAGAAGAAGGAATCGGCCAACTATTACCCTAAGCGTTTAATTTGTGTTTTTTAACTGTTTTTGTTCTGTGTCACGTACACATAATGAACTTCCTTCTATTCTCTTTATAAGTCTTCTTTTTTCCCGACTTCGAACGTTTTGGGATACTCGGAAAAGTCAGGGAGAGAAAGAAGAGTCTTTGTATACTAAAAGGTCAAACTGTAATCAACTGGAGAATAGTCTCTTCTCCATTGCACCCGACGAAAAATTCTTTATTTTGAAGCTTTTTTGCTCTTTAAATCTTGGCTGTTTAGCATTGTATTTTTATGATTACTCTTTGAGCTTGTATTGACGAGCTGTCGGTCGTATGATTCCGTGGAAACATCAGTAGAAAACATTATACATAGAAGGACTCTCTTAATCACGGATTTTCTATATTCGCATATTCTGTTTTCGTGATCGATCACTCAGCTCTTGAGGAGGAATTTTATTGAGAAGTTATTTATATCTGTTGGCCTCGTTGTAGGGTCGTAAAGCTGAGCTTGAGATGCAACATAGTCATGGTCACATTCAAGATACCGAAGAACTAAAAATAAGACAGTCCAATTGCTGGCTTTGGTTAGTGCGCAGTGGTTTATACGAATTTCCCTCTTTGCTGTTAAGTTCGTTGATACCAGTTCTCAAAGTCATTAAGTGTAAAGTGTTTGCAATACAGTCACGTTTATCGAATACGTCAAAAAAAAGCTAACTCAAGCACTTTGCGACATACTGCACGAATATATTACAGGAAAGTGAATTTACACATAAATCATGTGTTGGAGGACCTCTAAAGTCCTTTTAGTATGTGTTATTTTTGAAGGTCCTTTTGGTTCTTCATTACTTATTATTACTCATATACCTTAATTAATTTAACAGTTACTATCTTTGTACTTCTTTTGAACATCAGGGTAAGAGATCAGATCACTAAACAACTCAGAACAGTATCAAGGTAAATTAAGTGTCATTTGTAAATTGCTGAATTGAGAACAGCATTAATTACTTCTGTGGAAAAGATTCTCATTTAAAAGCCGTAAAGCTAAGTTTGTTTTGTGGTACAGCTAAACTGACTTAGGCATTCCAAGCTTACCGGATTCCTTTGCCGATCTATGACGCTCGTTTGGTGTTGTACTTGAAACGATACAATGCAATACAGAATTTGTAGCGGGGCTTTTCCGTGTTGATTATCTTAAATGAAATATTTTAGATCATAAAACAAAGAACTAAAAGATTATGATAAGATAAGATTGGAAAAAAATTGGAAAACAGTGAATATAAAATCACAATACTAAGTACTCCCGTTAGTCCAACAATAAATCAAATTTTACACCCTTTATGAGTGTTTAAGGAAACCCTTTTGGCTTATATCAGATCATTCGTATTCTTCTAGATTTTTTTTAATTTTTGATACTTATTTTCGACCAATTTCTTTACCTAGAGGTAACCCGTCTGTGCAAGGTAATTCAGTGCTTGCTTTAGTAGGGCTTGCGCGGGCTGTATCGATGATTGTACGTCAGCAGACTTCTTCAGAGACCACAGAACAGTATCAGTGGAACAACGAATGGCTGAGCGAGGTGGCTGACACAGTAATGGTGGTGTTGGATGGTAATTATAAGCCAAAGGGTCCTACTCTGGTTTGGTGTCAGCAGGTGATTGTAAACCTTGTCTTTCTTGGTATGAAAGGACTGTTAGCAGTTTACGATGACTATGTGGACTAGAAACAAAAATATAATTACTAAAAAAAAAAGCAAATGAAACCAAGAGTCAAAAGCAGACAATCCCGCCTTTGACATATTTCTTTGTAAAGGCCGCTTACAAGTTCCTCGGACAGTTTCATTTCGATCCTAATTTCTAGTAAAGCAATCTAATCAAGTTCACAAAGATGTTCTGTATACATTGATTTAACTACTACCTTGCAGGTGTCTTCATCCAGCTCCACTGCCAGTTCGTTGTTAGCTCGCTCATGTGCTGCGTTATCCTTGTCACTTTTGGTTCCTTGTCTTGTCGTTCTTGACACTGACAGAATTCACGACATCACTGTACTGCTGAAGCAAAGGATTCCAGGACAATCCAAGTAATTTTGTGCAATTGTGGTATTTAACTATAAAATCAGCGATTTTACGGAAATTGTGATGCGTTTTCCGAGCCAATACCTTGTCTTTAAGAAGTATCTAAACATTCTTGTTATCTTTCATTTAGATCAGGTAGCTCAGCTTCGTTACAGATGTCTTGTTCTGTAGGACTTGGATTGTTGCTCAGCAAGCTCCATGAAGAGCATTTCAGGTGTGTAGTCCTGTTAATGTTTCTTCACTACATCATGGGTTTTTGCGCTCAAGTTTTATTGTAATGGGATACATGTCTCTATCAGTGACCTTTAATATGTTCTCTCTCTTTTTCAGTGACGCCTACGGTAAAGAGGTATGTACATGTTCCTTACGCAGCCGGCACTCGGCATTGGGAGGTTTCCGAAATAATTCTCCACGTGCTACATTTGCCTTTCATTTGCCTTCGCTTGGTCGCCGATCTGTTTGTTTTTTTGTTAATGTAAGGGTTGACTTCGTTGCCTAAGTGAATAAGCTTTCCTTTCACCGATGGTAACGTTTCCTTGATAATTGCATGTTCAACTTGCTCTTTTGCCAGGGCTATCCACTGATGTCTACAGCTTTAGATGTCTTGGAGGAGACTGCTTTTTCATATGACTTGGATAACACGTAAGAAATGCATAAAGTGACTGCTTCTTCATGTCTCGAGTACGACGTGTACAGTACTCAGTCTCTCAGATGGTTAGTGACGGTATGCCATTGGGCCAATCATTTCAGCTTCAAATAACGAAGTTAAGGACAATTGAAATTAAACATTTCGCTAAATATTTCCTCAGCTGGCACTGTTTATTTGTTTGTTTTGAAATGGTATTGTGATTGTCTGAAGTGAGTTCCCTGTGTCAGCGGTTACGGTTTAGGCACCTGCTATACCTGTGTCGTAAATCTTTTGAAGTGTATTGTAATCATATTATTGAATGGATGAATCTATTTCTTTACAGGGAAGGCGCGTGTCTCGGTTTTGGACTCGTTGTGTCCTCTTTGTGTAAAGAGGGTCTTGCTGACTCCAGGGATCACGTCACAAATCTTTATCACAAACTTGTTGACAGGCTAAATGAGCAATGCAAAGACCCTGGTCAAAAACTTCAGGTAAGGTTAAGGAGATCTGAAAAAAGTTCTCTCTTGTAGAAGACAAAAAGAAAATAATGGGTATCGCCAATTATTCGAAAAAAACATTAGGTGCACCATTTCATACAAGGCTTACGTTATTTTGATAATGACTGTATTTAATACGATTGTCGCTTTTTTTTAGTGCCTGTCTTTTAGTGTGGCTTGTGTTTGTGTGTATGCGTTCCACACCGGCCTGCTGTCTGCCGATCAAGCTTTGCAGTGCATTGATAACATTCAAACGTTGTCAAGCAAACACCCAGAGGTATGCAGAAATGAATATTTAAACTGGACGAAAGAAAGCCATATGATTTCACTCCAACCTTTTGGAACTCAGAAATTAATTTGGATACGAAACAGCACCATTCTAGAAAACGAGGATGGACATTCACTTTGATATGTTTTTTATTGATCCTTTTTTATTAGGTTTGCGGTATTTCTTTATCTCTCGGGTTGCTTCTTCATGGACTTATATCTTGTGGTCATGGTGGAGCCATTGAGTTGGCCAGACAAGCTGGCAATGATTGGCGAAGTGTTCTTGAAAATAAGGTAATTTATTAGGAAGGTGATCGTCTCTTTGTCGACTAAAAGTAGAATGTGTTAGATTATCGATTCACGTTCGTTCAAAGAACATCTGGCCACAGTGGAATTGTATCATGAGTCTTTATTGTCAAGTATCAACGAAACACGGATGTCAGTAGCCTAATTAAGAGCTGAAGGGTGATGATCATGCATTTTTGTGCGGTAACACTGGAACAGTGAACTGTTGACTTTGTCTTTGCCAACAGGATGTTTTTGAGCGACGGCAACTGTCAGCTGTGAACGGAATCGTAGCTCTACTTGGTTCTGAGCAGGGGTTGTTTACCGTAAGTTGTAATGTTAAAGTGTAAAGGATATTGAGTGAGCCCTGACTGTACTTATTTATTTCTTCCAGAAATGATATCTCGACCATTTCAGATTATCATCGTTTATTTACCATTATTTGAACACTGTCCCGTGTAATAGTTGTGACCGCTTATTCTATAGATGGATTCTTCTACTTCTGACGTCGTGTTTTCTAAAGATGGAGGAAGCGTCATTAAATATCTCCAAAAGGTAAGGATGGTAGATTGTTTTGTTTCAAATGTCTTCAATAATAATAAAATAATAACAATAAAAATAATGATAATAATGACAATAGTAGTAATAATAATAATAATAATAATAATAATTATTATTATTATTATTATTATTATTATTATTATTATTATTATTATTATTATTATTATTATTATTATTATTATTATTATTGTCTTTACTTTTATAAAGTTAGCACTAGTCGTCTTCAGGACCACTCTCACCCGGACGACTTTCCTTTGATAATAATGTTTAGGGCGATGCCGAAAAGTTGAAATGTACTTGCTTTTGTAATTATTAGCGGATTTTTTCCTAAAGTTCATTTTTATTATTAGTGTTATGATAATAAAAAAATGATAATAATTATTGCACTTATGAAGATGATGATGAGGATAAGGGCAATGAATTTTTTCATCATCACTGTTATTATTTTTGACTGTTATTTGGAAGCTTGTCTCATCGCCGGAAGATTTGGGTCTCAGTTTTAATACAGCCTGGCTTCTTGGTCATCTGTACAACGCAGTTACTTCCAGTTCAATCAGTAATACAAGTGGTAAGTAATAAACAACGTGCATGCTCTCTAATGATATAAAACATGTCACCAAGGTCGGAGAGAGGAGAGAAAAACCTGAATTCCATGGTGATGTTGCCAGCGGATACTCTATCAATTGTGTTTGGCTGCCTTTTCAAACGAATTCTTGTTGTGGAGCGTGTTAGGAAATGGGAAAAATTACCTTTTTATCAGTTCATCCATGCAGTGTAAATTTGGAGGCTTAGAGATTGGTGCCAAATGTAGGTTAAAACATGGAGAGGTTTTTTACCAGTTTTTTCGTCAGATTTTTTGCGGGCGATTAAACATTGTTACCTCTTACCTAGCGTTACTGATCTGTTATTTAATTAACGTTGTTTCTTTTGTCATTATCAGTGGTATCTTACACCTTTTTAGTGGAAAAGGGTTTCAGGGAAAGTGAATCTTTTTGCTTCTCCTTGAAAGTAATGTTGCACGATCGTGATGTCTTTTTGTCATGGTTGTGTCATTTGTTGTATGATATTTTTTCCTTTATCGTTAAATGTTATTTTGTTCATTTGCTTCCCCTGCAACTGTTATTTTTACATTCTATCAGTCGCTGATACTTCCAGTCAGTGTTTGTAAACGACCGTTGGTCATCTTTTATCCTAGGAAATACATTTACAACTACTTTTCATCTGCCTATTGAATAAAAATTGTGTGCGAAGTTCTACTTCAACATTTTGTCTTAATTGCTATTCTAACGTTTTAACGCACTAGGAAGTCTTTGCCTGATCTTTCCTATGCTGCATTCAGCACTCATTATTGCTTTTTCTCTGTCAGCTCCGTTAAATTACAGTTACCTGTCAGAGGGGAGTATTTTGCGACTGCTCTTTGATTTTCTTGGCCAGGCTGGGAAGATAGGTAATTTCAATTTTACTTCTTTGATGAATTTTGTTATAATATTAGATACAGTATGGTAATTAAGTTCTAACGGTCCGTAAGAATTAATCGAAAGCTACGTTTTGTGTTCCCGTTGCATGCGATCTCTATGTGTCATAACGAGTACTACGATCCAAAAGGAATGGTTATTTTAGAAGATTTTAGAGTGATTCCTTTCGGTAAATTATCACCATGGTTTCATTGCTGTAGGTCCTCATTTGAACTTCGGTGAAGGAAGAGTACCCGCAGTGTTAGAATCACTGGTCAGCGTCTCCCATGTGGCACTGCCACCAGTGAATTGGTTGTCAGTACTAGGACCAATCATGACAGCCAATTTTGGTAAGATAAATCTATTGCCTCAATTTCTATTTCTCTTTCTTCGCATCACATGTGTCATTTTTTTTCTGTTCTTCCAAATACTTTCTACTACAGTTTGCTTTCTTCCTTTATTTTTTCCTGTCGATGAGAGATAGCTAACAATTGTCTCCTCATTCTGCCTAGGGGAGGATACAAGAAAATTGTGTATCAGGCTTGCAGTCAATCAAGCCCAGTCCTCCTCTACTCTGTCCTCGTTCTTGTCGTCTCTGCTGAGTAGTGTGTCGTTTATGGGCCTGGGGGTGAGTGTTATTGTCAGGATATGAGACTTTTGAGGTCCTCATGGGAAACATTTTGAGTTTGAAAGTATAACTATCCAACCTTATTACATAAACAGCAATGAAAAACTACGTGAACTGTTGTGTAATAACAAGATACCTTCAGTTCTTTTTAGACATTAGTACCACAAAAACTAGCGTCGGCGATCCTATTCTCAAATTGACTTTGAGTGAGTAAACATCAGTTTATGACCAAAAATTGCTCAAATTAACGTTAGAGGTCACGTATTTCAGAGGGAAGTGATCACGAATCTTACACGTAGTGTTTAGATAGGTCTTTCCTGTGATGATATGTTTGTCGACTTACGATGTTGCCCATTGGAAATATTTGCAATTAAATCAAAACTTATTTTTTCTTTTTGGAATAGTTGCGTGACATAGTTAAAAATTAACTGCTCTAAGTTGGCAGAAGTTATCTCAAATTACCCCAACTTTAGGGAATTGTTTCCTTAAGGTTCAAACAAGTATTGGACGTAATGAGATTAAATTCCATCGGATTCTGTTAGTGTGAGAGAGATTCGTTGGAAGCCCATCTTTCGAGCTAGTTTTAGCCTTTGAACCTGGGGATTTGATGTGCTCGTCTAAAGCAGTGGCGTCGCCTTTTCGAAATTTGGATCCATTTTTCGACTGCGGAGGTGATTTCCACTAAAGAGGTTCCAAGTATCCGCTCGCTGAAATCCCCCGTTCTTGTAGATATTTTTTAAGCTATGCCACACTCATTGCGTTAAGTCAGCTTTAATTTGTAATCTGCCGTTCTTAAGTTTAACTCCTCTTGAAAGTTGTTCTGAGTTTCGCAGAATTTCCCACTTGAGTTACTTAAGGTTAAAAAAAATTGGTATATTTATCAGCTGAGGAAATCCACACCCAGGTACGCAATTTCGTGTGGGAATTAAGGCTTCCTCACGTTCTACAGCGATTCGTGGGCACTAATTTTCAGACAGAAGGGATTTTATTTAACAGTCTAAGCACACAACACCCCGAAAATACCTGATCAGATACATCAGTGTACGCAGAACTAGTTCGATTATTCCATGCCGCAATTCTTCCTGTAACATTCTTCGCATCTTTTTCAACGGCAGCGAAATGACAACTTGCTTGATAAACGATCAGAAAATGATAAAAGAAAGACGCCAATTTTGAGCGAAGAACACTTCTTTAAAGTGGGAAGTTATTTAAGAAAAATTTCCAAAGCCGAATTTTGGACACATGTGCTGCGAACTCGACTCAATGTCCGAACTTTCGGGGTTTGTTTACATCAAAAGTCACGTGACACTCCACGTGAAATCTAAAGCCCAAAAGGTGAATTGCTTAGAGATACCAAATTTCTCTTCCAGTGTTGAAAAACATCAGAATATTTCACTCGTTCGCTACGCCGAGAAAAATTTCGTGTCTCCGCACAGCCACGTGATATCTTCTACATCGGAAGTTACTGTTACACAGTTTTCGTTTGAATATTTACTTTTTTACTTTCTTACAATTCTATGTTATGAAACTATTGCTTTGCGGTGGAACGGGTCATAAAAGCAATTGACATAATATCTTTAATGGTGTTCACTTACTTTTTTAAATGAAGAACACAGAGTTCATGTTTTCATTGAAGATAGTTATTTAAACTCTTCGAAAGGACCCGTCCTGTGAATTCCCAAAGATTTGTATAATGTTTTAAGTTAAAAGAGCTTCTACCTACCTCTATCTAAAATTAATTTGACAGGATCTGTCCAAAAGAGAGCTGCTGAAGAATTTGTCAAGACTGGTTTATGTCATTTCTTCCTCCAAGATGAAAGAGTTCTATGAGGAAGGGTTAACAGAGCTATGGAGAAAAAGCACGGTCAGTTCAACTTATAAGTGTAAAATATCACACGATTCATTGTATATGTGGATTTCTAGCAGACCGCGATATCGTTTTCATTAGGTTGGAATTTCGCTAATTCATTTGGACGAACTCAAAGCCTCTTGTTCCACAAGGTGCGACGTGTCATAAGAGACGAGAAGTAAAGTGCTTATATGTGCAGGTATTAGAAGGGGAATTTTACCTCCTCTGGAAGGCGCCGTGTGTTTTCGTCTTATAAACATCCCTTGTGTGAAAAATAATCATGATGAAAGCTGCGCTTTTTTAACGAAGGGGATTCTAGACCATGATAAGTAGCGTGAAATGAAAATCTTGGCACAGTTTTCATTATCTAGGGGAAATCGAGTGTGCAAGGGGTTCCGAGTTATCAGGAGCGGATTTTGATAAACTATGCTGCCGTCTACACTAAGTTTCAATCGGTTCTTTTCTATCAATTGTCAGGAGAAACACGCTAATGCACTCAATACGCTTTGGTAGTTTTGCTATATCAGTCACGAAAGAGATTAGACACCTCACCAAACTTCTAGAGTCCATAATGTATAAATCTAATTCAATATTTCAAAACTTGTTCGCTGAACCCAGGTTTTACTCTCTTATTATGTTTGACCAGGACTGTACCCTGAGATCGACCATTTTGGAAGCTTACCTTTCAGTCCTTTGTTTAAAAGAACCACCTGCGTCTGTCGTTGGATGGACCATAACGGCCCTTGAGCGCATGTTTAATGCCCTTGGTGCAGAGAAGAGTGAGGTAAAGTTGATTATCCCTGTTAATATGCACTAGTAAAATTTCAGTGATAGAATTAATATGATTTTCTTTATCTTTTCGCTAGAGTGAGTGTTTGAGGTTGTTTTCTCGCTGTTTTGCACTGATCCCTATTGAAAACGTGGAACGCATTTTGCCGAACACACAAGTAGGTTTTTTTTGTGAGTTATGTTTTCCACAGTCAATTTTAAGTGTTACCGAGATAATTGCTAAAGTAGCACGTGGAGCCAGCTTATTTCAGCCTCTAGACGTCGGTTGAAAGGACACTGCACCTCAGTTTAAAGCTGCAATCACTCCTTCACCATTGCCTCGTCAGGCTTTTGCCTTGCCACGATAGAAAACATCACCACGGGCACAGGCGACAATATTTATGTTACAAATCGTGTTTATTTGATATTGCAATAGGAAATTATCTGATTGAAGGTAACATATAAGAGTACATGGAAAATTTTGCAGCTATGTTTGGTGTGGCTAAAACTTTCCCTTTGACCTCTAACGCTTATTCTCTTATAGGTTACAAACACCAAAGATTTCATTCTGCGTTGTTACGCGGTTCAAGATGGTATAGCTCCGGTGAAGTGGCTTGCTCCATGTATTGACTTTATTTTAAATACTGATCTCATTGGTAAGAAAACCTGTTTTGTCTTTTTTGTTTGTTTGTTTTGAAAAAAAAGTACCTTCAGCAATTAAGCTGTGTCGAACAAAGTTTTAGTATAGAGGTTACAATTACGAAAGGTCTTATGGGAATGGAGGGATGCTTGATTAACGTTTCACGTACCCGCACTATCCCCTTTTCAAGGAGGATTTCATGGAAACGTTTAAGTATTTAACGTTTGTTGGACAACCTTCCTGGGTATGTGTCAAACTCTCCTTATTGCAGCATAGAAACAGTTTCTTTTATAAATGTTTAGGGTGACTCGATAGTTGAGACTTTGAATTACTCAAGTGGCATTCAAGGTTGCAATTACGAATCAAGGTAATGTAATTTTTTTCTCTTCATTCTGTCGCAGAAATCAATCTTTAAGTAAACTTTTGTTGCAGGAAAAAGGAACAAGGAATTGTTTTGCAGTGTTGTCCCTCTTATAATTGATTCTTGCACCAAAATGAAGTATGACGAGAGACAGCATTGGTTTGTGGAACTGATTGGTCAGTTTCAAAATGCAGTTCAGCTTTCTTCGGAAACTTCGTCACATCAGGTATCTGTATCAAAAGCATAGATATGCTTCTTCCTGTGTGTATTCATTGATTTCATTCAATTCTCGTAACTGAAAACAATTGTCGTGTTTTATAGACCTTGATGAATTCTTTTACGTTATTGTCACTTGTGTCTGCTGCATGGTGTGACTTGCCTATACTTCAAGGCCTCGAATTACCCGTTTCGACTTGCCCACCCGTTGATGTGGAATGTTATTACTCAATTGAAAGGTTTCCATGGCTACTTCCTCTAACATTGTCGAATTTGTTGGGGAAGGAGCCCTGGAAGCAAATCGCGGAAAAGGTACGAGTAAACAGTTCTTCTGACGATTTATGCTCTCCCATTCTTTGATGACAGTGTTTACTGCGGCATTGTGAGCTTAATGCTGCGATTGTAACCACTTAACAAAATTGTCCATGATAAAACTTTACAGCTCGTAAATAATCAAATTACCAAGCATTCGTTCAAGGAATCGTAGAATTTAATTATCTTCTGGGTAGAGAGATGTTAAAAGTTTTTTAAGGAGGAGGATTTATATCCAAACGAGGAAAGCTATGTACGGTTTTAGAGTAGAGCCGCTAGACTCGGAAAACCATTCAGGAGGTATGTGTATCTGTGTCGTGTCCCAACGGCGAAGAAGGAAGTCCGAGCCATTTGAGTTTGGAAGTCGTTGCACCTGAACAATAAATATCTACTACCATCTAACCATTTTTAAATATTCGGATGTTCAGTGAGGTACAAAGTAGCGAATTTTACCTTGTGTATTTTACAAGCCTACAATATTGAACATTAGGGTCTCACCTGAAACCAGCCCTGTTACCTTTGCGAATGTATGCGATTGTGTACGGGGAGAGGAGGGGGGGGAAGGAGAAGATAAACGTGTGATCATATGGAGTTTAGCAATCGCCTTCCTTGACTGTATCAAGCCAAGCAGCTTCTGAGAAAAATTCTGACATCTTCACTACGGCAGTCTCTAATTTCTCCAACCATGTGACCAAAAGAAACGAGGGATCTGGGGACGAGTTTGTCATTTATGTGTTCTTACGGACTTCGATAACTGTAGTCGCATTAAAGCCATACGCAACCGCTGTTTCTTGTTAATTTTTTCTTGTGTATATATTATTTTTTTCCCTCAGGTAATAGACTGGCTGTTATCCTTAAGAGGGGATCCTAGGCTGAAAACCGCTAATGTACACTACATGCTTATACAAGGTAAATACCCCTTACAACCACATGCCGGAATGCAACAGAAACATAAAACAATAAAATTGATAAACATTTGGCTAGATGCGATCGACCATCTGACTGATTGATTGATTGTATGGCCAACAAAACGACCGAACGAACGGCCGAACCAACGAACGAACTACCGACCCAACGAACTACCGACCTAACGAACTACCGACCCAACGAACTACCGACCCAACAAACGAACTACCGACCCAGCAAACAAACTGTCTACCCAACAAACGAACTACCGACCCAGCAAACAAACTATCTACCCAACAAACGAACTACCGACCTAACGAACGAATTACCTACCCAACAAACGAACTACCGACCCAACAAACGAACTACCGACCCAACGCACGAATTAACGACCCATCGCTCTGACGAAGGACTAACGCTCGAAACGTCAGCTTTTTTACCCTTTACGGTGGCCAATTTACGTTTTCTACTCATATGTTAACACTAAATTATCAACGAACGAACTACCGACCCAACAAACGAACGAACTAACGACGAACCGATTAACCGACTGGACAGTTTGTGCGATCAATCTAGTTGGTCAGTTTTCATTTGTCATTTTAATACATGATGAAGCTCTTTTTTTCAGATACACTTATTTCGTTGCGGGAGACAGACGCATATAGAAAACCAGCCGTGTGGACTAAATTAGTTGCTAAACTCCACCGTAAATAAATAAAGGTAAAGAAGGAAAATTTATTCTGCATCCTAAATTGAGGTGGTGGCTGGTTTTATTTAGAGTTATTGGTCAAAATAGCATTGAAGTAAAACTGACGTGATGAATTAACACTGGAGTATAACATTATGGCATTAGACGATGACACATCTTTGACCTCTTGTAGCCAGTTTTTCGCTTTCGTATATGATCAAAAGGATTCAGTCCACAGGTCTATGAAGTTTTTTGCCCATTACGTTCCTTCAGTTTATCCTCTAATAGCTTCAAACTCTCAATATTACTTTTCGTTAGCCGCAAATACCTGCAGTTTCGCAGCTTTCTAAATTCTTCGTTTGTGAATTTGATTTCAGGAGGACTAGGCCAGGGATATCTTGGAGCTTTATGGTCCATTTGTTGATACACATTGAGAAGCTGCTTTAATTTCATCAGCATTGATTGAATGCCACTGTCTCGATCATGGTTGCGATCAAAGGCAGCAGCAATATGAGAAGTTGCACCCTGGGTTACGCAGTACTGCAAAAAATAGCGAAGAATGAAATGCCAGTTAAAGTATGACTTTATGTCGTGAGCTTTACAGTGGTCGCTAGGGAATAACTTACCATTAGGGCACAGGTTTTTAGTGTTAGGCTTGCCCGTGCACTCGTTATATCACCGAGTTCAGTTGAAAACTGGACAAGTAGTCTTGTGTTATTTGACTCCAATCTATTTATAGCGAACCTCCGTAATGTTATTTAATTTTTAATTTTATAACCATCTCAGTGTATTGCGAGAGGTTAGCTGATAGTACTTCTTCTTCCGTTAAAAATCTACTTTTGTTAAAGCTGTTTAATTCAGTTATTGTAAGGGTAGAACAAACAAATTTCATGCCTGATATGACCTGACGACTTACTTCCTGTCGATTGCCATTGCGATCAATCCCATGGACACGATATCCGTGGACGTGATGGGGGGCATGCTGACTAGATCTTGCAGGCTTCTCTTGCTTGTTAGCTTCATGAGGTAGAAAGTGATGATGGTTAACGATATTGTCTGGATGTAGCAGCCCATTGAAGGCGGGATTTTGGTGTGCAGCTCCCTCATTTGAAGCAGCGGCTGAGTGTGGCGTAAACAAAGGTGAATGGGTAGTATGAGGAAGATTTTCAGGTAAATGTGTGTACCTATGGTACCAATTACTGTCTTCATCATGGTACTCATGTCTGTCGTGGACTGGAAACATTCTATCCAATCTGTGATAGAGATCACGTAGTTCTTCCTGTTTTGATCTGTTGTATATTATTGTGTCTTGTTCTCCAAAACTGCTTCTTCTGCTTCGACGATCTGAACAACTGTTCCTACGGCTTCTTCCCTCTTCAAGGCTATTCTTCCTACTTCTTGATGCCAGGAATCCACTTTGTTTTCCCCTATCACGTTTGTGATAATTTGCAGCAGCTATACCCAGATTAGCGCCAAAGTCCCATTTGTGGGCGCCTACACCTGGTGCATGCGCTGTGTAAGCGTCAACACCTCTTGGTGAGTGGCTTTTTTTATCGTCCTCGATGCTGGAAGCTCTACTTCTTCCTTGGTTCTTTTGATGGATGTTGGTGTTTGTGAACCCTTGTGTCCACTCGTAGCGAGGTGGATTTTCCTCAACCTCTAAGCTTCTCCTTCGCCCTCCTCCAAAACAGTGCGAATCTTCGTGATCCTTTCTGCGTTTCTGTAAATCTTCTCTGCGGTTGTGATGGTGGTGAGGATGTTTAGAAGAATCCTCATGGCATGTGCAGGTATGTTTGTATTCTCTCCCCTGAGCATTTCGTGGCAAGTTGCAAATAACACAGGACATAAACGCCTGTGTCCTGTGAATTTCTGAGCCACCATCTCTTTTGGTCGGTTTTGGTACGGAAGGTAAGGCTATTGTCGTAAGTTGTTTTGGAGTGTTGGTTGAACTTGCCATCGGTGAAAGTGATATGATAACAGAGGCATCAGAGGGGCCTGCACACACTTTCACTGAAGTCTTTTTGTCACTGATTTCTGATTTGATTTTTACCTGAAGTTTTCTGTCGTGATATTCAGTCGGTTTTCGTGAATGCCGTTGCCCGTCACTTGCATGTTGATTTTCATAAAAACTTGGGCACCTTTCGGGATGAAAAGCAGAGCGCCCTTGGTTTTCGTGATGTCCAATATCTTCAAAGTGATCTTGCTTTGTATGCTGCAATCTTGTCAGTGTACTTAGTAACTCCCTCTCTTCTTTTCGGTAAACATGTGATTGGACATCTTTACAGGCCTCAAGGGTTCGTATCTCTTTATCCAAGCTGAGCTTTCGGGCCTTGTTGGTAACGTGTAGGCCATAGAAGTTTCCTTCCGAAATGTGACGAATTTGTTTGAGCATTTTAAATCGTTCATCCCATTTTCAGGTCTTTATGAGATGTGTCACTGAAGACTCCTTATTATGACGTCAAAGTGGAAATCTAATCGAATTTGCGAGTGCTGTGAGTAACAGCGCGCGCACGAACTGATGAATATGTGGTTTGAAGCGAAGATTTCTCCTGTAAGTTACGTTTTTATAGAAACCTTCCAAACTTAGTTTGCCTCTATATCATGCAGCGTGTCGAGGGTAATTTTTATCTTTGACTTACTAGACTTTTTCTTAGTTTGACTTTGTTAACCCTTAATTCACTAAGATATCCCAGGATACCTTTGTACCCTGTAGAAATATAAATTTTCGAAAAATAGTCTAGAGTCTCTTTTGTTACAAAATAAACTTATGAAAGGAACAACAACGTTAGGACTAATATGAAGACTTTGAAAGTTCTTCATTCCAAAACAGAAAAGTGATAAATTTCTGACTAAGAAATCTCAAACATTCAAATAAAAATTCAGTTTTCGATGCCAATTTCAAGGTCCATGGACTTGATTGACTAAATTATCAAATCACACACGCCGTGTGTGAATACAAAGGAGTACGCGAAGGGGAGAGAGGAAGAGCAGATTTTATTTTGAAATACTACATTCACAAAAAACTTGGCACATTTTCACATACACCCGTAAATGCTCCTTATCCAGTTGTGCTTCTGTGCGGAAGATTGATTAATTTCTCTAATTTTCCTCGTTGAAAGCGTTCCGAGTTTTTCTTTTCTAGCGTTTGCTTCAGTGAGTGACATACAAATACATACAAGTATACATGAGGTAAAAAATTTGCCGCATTTTTCTCTCTTTGTTTCACCAGAACCGTAAGGACTGGTTAAGCGCGAACTATTTGTACAAAGACACGCCAGCGCTAGGCATTCATTCTCACGACGACGACGTTCATGACTTAAGATAGTGTCTGGTTTTCACAGAATGGTATGAATAACAGTGCACCGTTACTCATGAAAGGTTTCTGCGTTTTCGCGTTGTAAATCTCTTGTTATAAACCAAATGTAAAGAGCTACGTATCTAGCTGGCGGCATCAGAAAAGTCGCACTGCATGTGAAAACTAACTTGACATACCACATAACTGCAAAAACTTAACCGTGTTACGTTTCCTGGTCACGTTTGCATTTATTTAGAACAACAATTAACCATATGCTTGTAAGTGTGAGAACGTCACTTAAAAGAAGAAGAAGAAGGAAAAAAAACCCTTTACCACAGGTAGGTCAAGCTCCACACTTCATTTCTGACTCTATTTTTGACTCCATTTCCGAACGCCAGATCCGTGAAGCAAAAAAATCCAAGCTCAGAATGACCGGGCAGCCACAACTCTAACGCACAATCCAAGCACATACACTTTAATTTCATCTCCATTCACTACAAACACAATCTTCCCGGTGAAACCGACGCTAAGCCACAGTTTGCTTCAAAAAATTTATAATTCAGACGTCTCTCTAACGGCCCGCGCACAACAAAACGACCGTTGAAAATCAGCCTTGTAGCCCTGCCTCCTTTGCAAACTGCGCCTCGCCGGGGACCACACCGTCACGTAGCATCCATGATTCTTAAACAGTTTATTGATGCCAATGTGCAACATTGAGCTTATTTTATGTACGTAGAAAACCTAGAAGTTTATAACTCGCTAAAATGGGTTCTTTTCAACATAGTAAACGGTCAGATAACAAGCGATGCACTGCCTGAAGTAAGGTGAAGTACTTCTGTTGAGAATTTGACTGCGGTCGTAATTATTCCCATACAAACTCTTACAATTTCGCAATGACTCTTATTTCGCAAGATGAACATCTCGTAGCTGGGGCTTGGGCTGCCTGTGCATGTACAAGCGTTTTTTCGCTCTTGAGGTCTTAAGCGTCAGATCGCTTGACAATGCCAACTCGCTTGGCTCAACAGCTCAAGACTTTAAAAGGTACTCTATTTCTCTATTTCTGTCAACTTTTCAAAAGTTTTGCATGGTGAGAATGAAACCAGATGACTATGATAGCTAAACTAATAATTTACTGGGCTACCCTTTTTGCTTGCCGTATAATCTTTTAAAAAAAGGAAAATGATGTGCAACAAAGCACAGCGAGGAAAAGTTCCCGAGGTTTGGTCGATTTTCACATTATTAGGTGGAAATGAGCCCACGCTCCTCCTCCCGAGAAAAAAAGGTTAAGGCAGGCTTTGAGTTAGATTCAACAACCGAAAAAAAAAGGCCCTATGAGTTGCGTGCGCGTACGTTCGCGCGTAAAATTCAAGACATGGCGACTGCGTTTCCGAAAATGACTCTTCAAGCATTTTAAGAACAAAAAAGGAAGAAAAATTTTAGTCGTGTGTATCCGTGTGTATTTGATGTGACTCGTATTTAGCCGTATCTTACACGTATGTCACTCATGGTAAGCGTGCGGTGTTTTAGTCATTATCTACGAGATACAATACCTCCGAGAAAAACATTTAAGTGCGTTTGATTTCCAGCTCATCGACAAGCAAAAAAGTTGTGTTCAATTTGTTGAAGAGGGTTGAAGTGTTTTGGAACCGAGCAAAGCAAGTGATAGAGAACAGCTTTTAAATCAATCAACTTACCATATTGTTCTGCTGTGTTGGCGATTATATCGGTGCGATTTCGTGATCACCAAAAGCAATAAAATTGATGTAACCTTAAACATTTCTATTTTATTGGTCATTGCCCCATTGTACAAATTGTAAGTAGACGAACCTTCTGCTTCACTTTACTAACTGAGCCGTTTTTTAATTATTTTTTTTTTTTTCGTTTCTTTCTTTCGATTGACGTTTGAATCAGTAAACGCCCTAACATCATCTCATCCTAAAAGGATGTGCGATACAACAAACAGATTTCTGTATGAAAATACCAATAAAAATATAAAAAACAAAACAAACAACCAAAAAATCAAAGATGGTGAGGTCCATAACCTTTTTGTAAAATTCCTTACGAAATTAATGGTACAGAGCTTTTCATTGTTTTTTTAGTGTTGCCAGGAATTTCGCTCCTCTTCTCTTAACTTGAATGAAAAGTTAACTGAATTACGAATCAAGTGAAGAAATTTCGTGTGGTTGAGTCAAATATCAATGCCCCACACACTCTATGTCG